AGATTATTTTCTATCGATCTTTCACGCGATAAGGTCTTTTGATCGATTAATATTAATTAATTAATAACTCATAATCTTACAAAAGCAAATGTAACGTAGAATTGCTGAAGTTAATTATTATTTGAGGGACAAAACGAACAATTGTATTAATACAATGTCAATGGAATTTGAAATGTAAATGTAACGTAGAGGGAATCGTCTTTCAATATTACGACCACGAGTGTGGAACAGATGTTAAAATAAAAGATAAAGTTTTTGGGCATAGGCATTTCTTAGAAATCATGTCATTCTTCGTACAACTTTTTAAGCGGTATACCTACGTCATACGCCAACATCCGGGACTATTGCCTCAATTGTGCATTCCTAAAACGACCCGCGCGCCACGCGTATGAGTAATTCAAGGGAACCGTTTGTTTGAAACGTCTGAAAATGTAATAGACAAGTTCAAAGCACCTGTGAGACCTATTTGATGCACACGTATCAATGGTGTGAATGTCTTCCTTCGAGAAACTGTTCTCACCCGATCTTTTCTAGCCGTGTTGTCAACTTGTATGTTAATTACAAAATTAACAAACAATGCAAATACATAATGAAAACGCAGTTGAATGTTAATGCACATATTTTGGAAGTCGATTTTATCAATACTGAAATTACGAATGTAGTAATATGGTCTCAGCCTGGTAAATGACTCATGTACGTGTGTAGAAATAAAATAATAAGTTTTCTTTCTATACTTTTCTACAAGAATATATTGTTATAAACAAATCATACTGGTCATCACATTTTTGCATTGCTGTGTATTATACGTTTATGTAACAAGGACTTGCTTCTTAGAGATTTTAATATAATAGCTCAAATACTTGCAATTCTTTTTCTTATTATTTAATGATGGCAGGGACGAATATGAAATCTTTAAAATAATATATTTATTATTAATTTTACGTTACGATTCGTATGTTTTATTTCTTCAAATTTTCCGATTGTACGAATATGACCTACATGTTACATAGAACGAAAATTGTGAAAGAGGTAAAATGGCACCTACGTGCCGCTGATCACGCGTACTGTTGATGTTTTAATTTGAATAAGTTTTGTTTCTTCCCGCGTATCGATATCATTTGCGTCATATAACAGATTCAAAATTTAAAACGATACCCATGACTACTGAATATGACGTCAATTTTGTACCGATCTGTGTTTTTGCTAATATTTGCGACAGCCGTATTAACGCACGAAAAAAACAAACTGTAAATCGTTTTTACGTGATTTTCACATGGCTCGTGGATGTCTCCGGACTGTCTTTTATCTTGTCATCGCGATTACGCGTTCGAATATTATTTTACACTGCAAAAAGGTTGCTACATACGTTCTCGCATATTAAATTAACAGACACGAACACGTCACAATACTTTCCAACGTATGACTTCAATACCGTAACAATCGACGATAATAACGATATAAACAAAACAGTATTTTCATAAATATATCGATCACTTGTCAGTCAAAACATGATCAGGTCTTAAGACGTGTGTTTCCTTATATGTACGTCGAAAAGAATAAATATGAGATCAATGACAGTGCGAATTCCGAAAGTATTTTTATCTTCGGATGATCAACCACTCTTTATCTTCAAACGACTTATGCGCGACACAGACCTTTCTTATACGTATTGACTAAAAAAATATGGATCTTTCCATCGATCCATGCGCGGACTAGGCTGATGCAACTATAAGAACATACGTATGAAACGCCTAACTTTCTGAGATTAGAATAAAGACGTTTCGTCTTCTGAATGAAATAACGGTTCTTAATCTAATCAGTAAGGGTGACAACTGGAACGAGCGTTTTTTTAAAGTAAATAAGCTCGAGTTATAGGGACTTATGTGTATAAATAGCTTGCATATTTGGGTTACTTGTAATTATCGTTTAAATTTTTAAATCTAAATTTCGTGAATTCCAAAAAATCCTTGAAGAAAACTGTGGAATTAACACGACATAGTTTTATAGATAAAGTCATTGAAGTTTCAAGTCACAGGTTCATCTTAGTATTATTTTACAAGGCGTGCAATGAAGGCAGCACTAAATAATAAATAAATAAGTAAAGTTCTGTTATATATGGTAATTCCTATATAAACAAGATAATAAAAGTTGATAATCAGGTTAATGCAAGCAAGACAAAATGGAAGAGGTCAAAGATCGCATCCTGAATACTCTTGAACTTGTTTTCAACTCTTTCTTGAAGAATAGAATATTCTAAACAATTGTCCTGTAAAAAACAATATTAAAAACTGTAGTCAAATATCACTAAGATATTAACATTAATAATTTATATAAATTCTGAGCAATAACTTACCTTGCTTAAACATCGGCCATTGTTATAAGGTTACGAGAATATGCAAAACTGAAGGCTCACGAATTAATTTAAAACAAAAATTACAAGCGTACGGAGACGATAAATATTAATTAGTCACATCATTAACGGGCAATGGTGCACAAAGTAACGTATTTTTTATTTTATTGAAATCTCAGTATTTTATCCTACATTGTGTTTTATTTACATGTGCAGCGTAGCTTATGGAGATCAATGCATAGACAGTAGCGTTGACAATTTCCAATACGAGTGAGTGTACTTTCAAATGAACACCTCATACGTCACAACCAAACGTAACACGTCACGAAGACTGATTGTAAATATACAATGAGCCCCAACAGTATTCATGCCCATACCTATTGTGACCATGTAGCACGACTTGTACTTTGAAAATAACGTGATATATTTAAAACGTTATTCACGGAATTGTCATTACAAATAATTTACTGTGCCAGATACGCTGCAGTTGCGCTCATCGGAAACGTTCGTGTGTGTTCCAGTTAGATCCTGCGCGGTTGCGGTTCGCGATATTCCTTGCAAAATGAGTTAAATGGGCCGAGACATTGTTCCATCGAAAAAGAAAACGTACCACGAGTTTCTCCCGTCGCCGAGCCGCGTTTCTAATTTCCCAAATCTCCCAGTGAATCGTAAAACTGTCGCGCACCACCGACTTTCACCGCGATAAGGCGTTTTGCGTCAGCAGAACGTCCCCCCGGGCTATGCCCGATGTTCGAGAACGGTGGAAAATGAAGTTATCGAATAGGAACGACGACGAGTATAGCTGCCCAAACGGCAGATCGAACGCTACGCGAAACACGAATGAAATAAACCGTCGCGTGTACGAAACCGTATCCACGATACGCGTATGTGTTAAATTAATCTCAGTGTTTAATTTTAATTAATATCTTCACGCGGTATCGCTCGGGGCGAAAGCAGTCTCAAGATTATGTCACGAGTAAATTAATTATTGTATTTACATAACAAACGTGAGTTTGCCTAATAGCGATATCGTTACGTTTTCGTGAAAATTCTTTTAGGAAAATGTGGTACGCCGCGTGTCTCGTTTTACACATTTAGCTACATACATATAGATCGAGACTTCTTATACATTTTTTTTCCGTTAACAATATCGATCCGATATATCATAAGATACGTGTAATACGCTAATGAATGATTCATAAATTCTCACAGGCAACCCTAGACCCTAATTGCATGGGGAAAAATGCATAACTCGGATATTGTGTAATACGAAAGATTCTAAGAACTATGAGAATCATCTCGTAGTACCGTTTCTTGTTCCTCGTGAACGGTTATTTTTAGCTAATTTGTGTTATTATGTATGCGTAAAGCAGCGAGGATAATTACTATCGATTATCTGAATTACCTATCTGTTTCTAGTTATTCTCCTTTTTACTGCGTTTTATTGTATCCGATAGGCGTGTAAATTTAATATCATTCATCGTAGAACAAGTAAATTTTCAAAAATTGTGAACACAAAGTATCAATAATTCAAAATAAAGTCTAAAGCTATTTTTAAAATAAAATAAAATAACAGCACATAATTTAAAACATGTATAAAAATTTGTGTGTACTGTAAAACTTGCACTACAATGGTCGAAAGTGCTATTTTAATTATATGTTTCTAAGATGATTCTTGAACATTTAATCTAAATGGACTTAAGGGCACAAAGTCACATTTTGAAATATTAACTATGAAACCGTTGAGTAGCGTGCCAACGGTCATCGTAAAGTTCCATTCGTGGCAGAAATTTCGAAGCATGAAAAGGTTAATAAACTAAGAGGACTAAACGACGGTCATTTCAGTGCAATCTAAATACGCGATGATAACAGTATCAACGCATGCGTCTAATTTAAACCGCATTGACGTAAGTTTAAGCGTGTATCTGCATGAATATCCACATCCCCGAGCAGAAACATTGAAGATTACAAAACCTTAAGGTCATCGGAAAAAATAATTTTCCAATCGAGTATATAACATTATTTCATTTTCAAAATATCGTTTAAAACAAATCCATTATGTTATAAGAATCATAATCCTACATTAGAGTTCAACGATACTTATAATTCATAGTCAAATGATGTAGCTAACCTCAACTATCACATCGCATCATATACTATTTTTTGTACTCTAATTATCTTCTAAGTGTATCATTTACAAAAAGATCTGATAAAAAAATCTAATTAACAGACGTATTAGAGCGATTAGTTCATTAATCGATTATTAACACAGAGTATTAGTTATTAGCATAGAATCAGATTGCAAAAGCCTACAGCAACTTTTAAGGTTACGATTTCTCTAAGATTCCAGTGGTAAAAAAAACATTTTCATAATAAAGTGCATGCTCAATATTGATCTATTTTTCTGTGCGGAACTAATCGTTCTGTTCGATTCGTTAAAGTTGAAAAATTCTCGTCTAGCTCTATTCGTGAAAAGGGGCTGCGACCCGAATAATAGCCCTACTTGCGCCTCCGGCTTCAGCGTACGCACGCATGCATACATGCGAGAACGAGAATCGGACGTCGACACGAAATGGTGGGGAGAGAGCGTCGGGATCGGGACGATAAAACTATATGTAGCTCTCTCCGCTGACCAGTGCACATTCAGTAAGCAGGAGGAGGCGTTTCGCCGCATCATTTCGAATTCGTTCACGCGGAAACGAAAACTAGGAATAATTTTTGAATCGTTGACAAAGATTCGCCCCCTCCGATCACAAAGAACACCGTAACACCCTCTACAGAGTGAACTAGTAATCACGACGCACGCGCGCATATTCGTCGAATAGTTCGCACGTTTCTAACGTTTCGGTGATATCGACTTTTCGCTGCGAATTTATTCGACTGCTGGAACTACGAATACACATTTGAAACGCCATCGTTCTCTGAACTGGACACAACAATCGAACAACCACCGAGTCTACGATTTTGGGAACTTTTGCTCGAACGTACCGCGTGAAGTGACTTCGGCATGCACGACGTGAAGACAACGGTATTCGACAGCATTTACTCGTGGTATGCGTAAGCGGTTCCGGAAATTACTGGACGAAAGGGATAACAGAAGTCTTACACGTGCAAGGAGAATTGTTTAAAAAAAAAACCGTATTCGAAATTGTCGTCGAGTAAGAAATTCGGGACCACGCCTACGGTAGACAACGATGAGCTCGTGAGCGTCGATTGAGGTTAGCTTGCGTCCACGAACGATCGTCGTGATTTAAGTGCGTGGCGGAGTGACGATTTTATTTGTATACACTGTACGTACGTGGGTGCGTGTTCCGGAGGAGTGTCAGCTCGAAGAGTGGAATAATGTCAAGCAGTATTTGCTACGCGCCCCTACCAGCACGAATGGAAGCGTTCACCGCGCGGCTCTGTCTCCGTGCTGCTGACCAATATGAGCGGCTTCTGCAAGCTCACTTCAACAAGGTACGTGTATCGAAAACTACTCGGCAGTTCCCTCGTTTCCGTAGTTTATTTAGCGACCAGAACCTGTTGGATGGATTACCCGATTTACTGGATATCGACAGTCGCTAATCGAAGTGCTAGAAGTATCGATATGCACGACCTAGGCTTCGTTGCAGGAGATACTGTTACTGAACGGTTTAATGTTTTCCGATGCGTTAGTATGGTCGATATTACACCCTGTTTATTTGCACGTTTCTCGTATTATTCTATGCGAAATATCCAAGGAAAATTTACATTTCGTTTCAATGTTTGGCAGAAGTTATTTAGAATCGCGAATAAATTTTTTTTAATAAAATTTGGATAATGCATTGCTATCGAAATTACGTGAACGAAATTTAAAGCAACGTATGTAGCAGTTGCTAGATATTGGACAGCTATGCCCTTCTTTTGCATGATTCTTGTTTCTTGATTTTTTGCACAGATTATTTTGTTTATTTTAACAAAAACTATTTCATAATTGTTTGGTACTGTGTTGGACAATTCTAATAGTTATGTTGCATTGTAAGCTTTTTGTTAGTATTATTGTTAAATATAAATTTCTCTTAATGTTTGACATTACCTTTTATGGAACACCATATTTGCGACTAAATTGTGCTCGTACTGTATGTGTGCAATGAAACCATTCATAAAGTCGATAACAGAAATGAGAATATTTTGTCCTATCTTACAACCCAGCTAATTGTGCATGTATATGTATAAAAAAAAAAAGTGTAATACGAGTGTAAATGTTACGTCACTATACAGTGAATGAGACGAAGTTGATGCGGACAAAACGAGTATTTTTTCGTATCTGTACCGGCGAAGAAGATGAGATAAGTAGACGCACTGTCTTCGATGTATCAGTCTTTATCAAAGCCAATTAATCAACTTAATTTTTATAAAATATTCCTCTGAGACAAGTTGATTTTAAAATAATTTTGAACCGACACGTGTATGCTGCGAATCAGTTAAACCTCCGATAACGGTGAAATTAAGCCTTGCAAATTGACGTTGTATCTTTAACGTGTTTTTTTCGCGCGGTTTCGATCAAAAGACTCGTTACTGATCGTACGGTGTACGTAACAAACGCGTCGTGTCACGTGCTCGCCCATAAATGTCATTAACGCGAATGGTGTCGTGTTAAACCCGATTGGAAAAGATTTAGAAGAGGCCTTTCGAAATTTTCACGGATCCGACCTTCGACGAAGACAGATGAATGAATAAATTCAAGGCGGTACTCGATGACAAACTCAAGGATCGCTTGTATCTGGAGCAGGAAACGCGTTAAGCCATTAACCTCGTGCAATTTATGTTTCGTGATAGGTGCCTGAAAAAGGAAAAAAGAAGACGCCTTTTAATCGTTATCTCGAATATGAACTTGAGCGGTTAAAGTAGTATTTATTTATCTCGCAATTATAGTCTTGCTCGTGGCAAAATTTACTGCCAGGCTTGCATTGTAACTTCATAATGCAATGAGCCAACCTCAAAATTTGTTATTGAATTAAACACAATGGAACATTTGCAACTAAGAATCAGAAATAAAAAAAGATATACAGGGTGTTCGGCCATCCCTGGGAAAAATTGTAATGGGAGATTCTAGAGGTCAAAATAGGACGAAAATCAAGAATACCAATTTGTTGATGGAGGCTTCGTTAAAAAGTTATTGACGCTTAAAGTTCCGCTCGTAATGAATTTTTTTCTCAAAAATGCGCAGGATTTCGGGGGTATGCCTATTCGTCGAAAATAATTGTGATTGACCCCCGCAACCGAAAATAATTTTTTCAGAGCGATTTGAAATTTTTTAATTTTGTCGAAAAACTTCATACATTCTCGAATTTTTTTTTCGAAAGTGGATAGGATTTCGAGGGTATGTCTAATGACCAAAAATGATTGTAATTGACCTCTGCAACTAAAAATAATTTTTCTAAGACGATTTGAAATTCTTTTTTTTACACCCAAAACTTTCACCTACTTGAATTTTTTTTTCAAAACTGAGTAGGATTTCGGAGGTATGTCAGTTGACCAAAAATGCTTGTAATTGACCCCTGCAACTAAAAATAATTTTTTCAGAACGATTTGAAATTTTTGAATTTAATTGTTAATAACTTTTTAACGAAGCCTCCATCAACAAATTGGTATTCTTGATTTTCGTCTTATTTTGGTCCCTAGAATCTCCCATTAAAATTTTTCCCAGGGATGGTCGAACACTATAAAAGTATATTTTTAGATCTGCGTCTGTATAGCTACTTCTTCGGTTTGTATCGGGATGCAATGACGCGTTCATATCGATCCCAGAAAGATGTCCATTAATCCACGGTAATTAAAAACGGATTACGTCGTAACGAACTTTCAAACGATATTACGAAGAGAAAATGTATCCGTCGTTACTCGCGCGTTTCTATACAATGGGAAATATTTCTTCCCCGTGAAATTGATTTACGCTCGGCCAGGAAGTGTAATTTATACTCGTCGTAGCGAAGGGAACTAAAAGAAAAATTCAATTGTCCGCCACGTGGTTCGATTTCAAATTGACTCTGTTAAACGACGCGGGCTCGTTTCGATCGTTTCGATTATTGTAATCGCGATGTTTGTATGCCGTTCGAAACGCAAACGAATTTTGACGCCGGCAATATTATTAAAGCGATCTATAAATAATTTAGAAGCAAACACAACGTACAAAACGCCAACACTGGATTTAGACACGAAGCATCGACCTTTTTACTTTCAAAAACAATTCTGTAATTCTTACATATAAATATACACGCAGAAGTTTTTAATAATAAAAAAAAATTTTTTAAATAAATAAGTCATATTAGTTATTGTTTTTACAACGACTATAATAGAAGCTTGATTGTTGCAGGAAATCAAGACTGAAATTATTGATATTAAATCCAGTATTCTGAAGCTGATGACAGTGAAAGTCGTCGAAAACATTAAATACTAAATTTATTATAAATACTTCATTGCTCGACCCACGACTATGGTTTTTCAAAAGCGAGCACACAATTTCCTACTGTTTACTTAAAGAAATTAATTTACTGAAGTATATAGCAGCATTTTATATAAATAAACAAGTTCTATGAGAAACTCTAACAAGCAACACGCAGAATATTTAGAAGAATGTAGCGATCCATAGCCTATGCAGTTATTGCAATTACTACATTCTCCTTGATTGACGTCGTCGGTTACGTAGTAAGAGTATGCACCTTGATTTCCTCGCCACGTTAATATTATTCGATTTAACGCGGGAAAAAAGATCAGTAGATACAGACACCAGAGATCATTTACATCTTCCTAACTTTGACTTTCCATTTAATTCCGATGAAAACTACATTTCTTTTCCCATACTGTACCCAATTGAAAAATTGATGGTCGCAACCATATTGATCACAAATTGACCAATGATCGACGAGAAATTTTTGTGCTCCACAATCTCCATTCGGTTAACTGTTAACAAAAAATTAAGTTTAAAATTGGACTTGCGATAAATATACACTATTTATAAAAATGTCATCTATATAAAAGAAAGTAGCAAACAAATATGTATATACAGGATTTGTGCTGGCTCGGTTCGACATTTAAATGACCTTCGCGTTTAGTTTTCAAGTTAAATATTTATACATAGTTGAACCCCAGCGAACCAAAATAACGCAATTAGAAGATTCATAGATGTTATAGGTTAATGGCAGTTAAAATTTTCAACTATTCCAAGTAAAACAATTTCTCCTTGAAGAGGTTAATGCAATTCTGTGTTTCTGCGAAACGATAATACGAAGCAACTAACGTTGTGTAATGTCAAGGATTATCGAACTATTCGTAAGTATTCCTTCGCGTGTAATTTCTTTCAACGAAGTAATCGTAGCGATGCACACGACTCGTTACTATTCGTTCACCCTGTAGGTACGTTCCTGGCTCGTTCGATCTCCCAGCACAGCAGACTGCACGTATTTTTCATGCCGTAAGAATTATTTGATACCATATTCACGTATCTGCGTATGGACATGCTGATGTCAACCGGTCTGCAAGTAGAAAGTATATCTGCAATCGCGAAACAAAATCTTCGAATTAAGGATTAACTCTGTTGCGCATGAAAGTGATCGCGGTGGTAAAGAATTGCCGCGCGCGATAGATTTATGGGTTCGCTCGCGAGAGGCCTCTGACGCACTTGCATTAACCGTTTCGGCGTTGAGATTTGAACGCTCGACACGCGCCATGTGCGGAAATCCGGTAGCCAAGTTCATTAAACGTACGCGTCGAACGCCTTTGGGCGTTACACGCATGAATCGCACGGTTAAATAGTATTTAAAGTCGTTTGACTTCGTACCGAAGGAAAGTCCATATTTGTCTCCATTAAAATTTCTTCCTTTGAATTGCAAAGTCTCCTCTAGGAATTTCGCCATCCTGCTTCGAAAAACATTATTGCGATAAATTTAAATAGTAAAACGTTCGAATAATGAAAGTTCTTTTGTAACTGTTTACATAAGCATTATTATCATTGAAATCAAGTTTCTACGAACGTTTCGGTTTGTCGAGACAAAGAGGTTATGTTGCAGGCTCCATGATCTCCGAGATAACGACAGATTATTGAGAATCTAGTCTGGTGTGGTCCATGGGTCACTCGTCCAACTGAAACATAGAATAATAATTAGTTGAAGACATTGGTTTGTAAGTTTCAATGATTTTTCGAAACATCGAAATACGATGATTTTTCTTTCAAACGCGTTTTAGAAACTAACGTAAAATTTTCTGGGAAGAAAAGATGCGTAATGCAAAGTGGAAAAATATTTTTGTTTACATAAGCATTACCATAAATATCATTGAAATCAAGTTTCTAGGAACGTTTTGCTTTGTCGAGACAAAGAGGTTATGTTACAGGGTCCATGATCTCCGAGATAACGACAGATTATTGAGAATCTAGTCTGGTATGATCCATGGGTCACTCGTCCAACTAAAACATAGAATAATAATAAGTTGAAGATATTGTACTGTAAGTTTCAATGATTTTTCGAAACGTCGAAATATGACGATCTTTCTTTCAAACGCGTTTTAGAAACTAACGTAAAGTTTTCTGGGAAGAAAAGATACGTAATGTAGAGTGGAAAAATATTTTTGTTTACGAAAAATCTTAGCTAACTAGACTTACGGTTGTCACGCGAAACTATATATGGAAATCAGTCGATAATTAAATACATAGAGACGCATGGATCGTCGAATATTTTTAGAACGACCTTCGTTTTACCGTTTGCTGATTCCACTGTTTGTAAACACTAATGGCGCTAGGGATTCTGTTTACGCGAGTCGAGTTGGAAAATATTTTTAAACCGTGAAACATTTTATATAGAGAACTTCTCTACTACGCTTGATATACTCCTGATGAGAAATTGATTTTCTTACATTCGACTCGTTCTAAATAAATAAATTATCAGGAATGTGAAGTCGTGCTAATAAAACGGCAAATAAAAAGAAACTTTATGAATAACTTTTTATTTGAATTCTAAAGGTAGAAATAATTAAAGAATAATATGGCAGAAAATTACGAGATAATTCTAATGAGAACGATATTAATTGCACGCGACACTGTATAATTAACTTTTTCGAATATTTTTATTTCAAAGGGTAGAAATGATCAGAGAATATGCAATGTAAATGTATACGAGAATTCTAATTAAAAAAGATATGAATTATACGTAACAGGCATTTCATAATTAACTTTTTGTTTCACAAATTTTAATTTCAAAAACGTATTAATTGTCCACGTTGGGGGAAAAAATTTACTCAAAGAGAACCGTAAGACTGTTCTTTGAAAAAAAACTGAAATAGAAGTCATGTGACGATAAAATTGCTTACTCCATATCAAAATAACATGATCTTTATCCTTAACAAAAATTTTATTCAAGAGATATTGTATTATAAAGAGTATTTCAATTAAACGAATCTCACTTATCTATATGCATCAAGTTTTGTATCTACAAGTCTGTCTTTGTCTTGACAAGAAATTCTGTTTACGTAAAGTCTTATACTACTCGAACATTTGTTATTTATGTTATCTGCTGATATCAAAATACAGGAATGTAATTTTTTAGATACACGTACTTATTAGATTCTATCAATGTGTTTTTACTGAAACGATTTTATCGTGAAATCGGAACAACGATAATTAATTTTTAGTTATTATAGTTTACTCGCAACAGAGTTACGAAACTCATAAATATATGAGTTGTTATCGGTTTACTTGTGTGGACGTTGTTTAGTCTTGCCTTTTACTAATAGATATACTGTCATTATACTAATTACTAGCGTAATTAGAAATGTATTTAATACAACGATCGCGAAATGATGAAATATTTCTCACAATGTTTCTTTTTACAAAAAGTAATCGCTTTTTGTTTGTTTTAAATATAGATCAATGGCGATTAGATTCACGCAATGAATTCAAAGCTGGTTAATCGAAACAATGGCGATTTCATTGATAAACAATTGTCAGTTCGACAAAATTAATTGAATACATATGTACAATTTTGATTCGTTATTCGCGACTCTGATCAAGAGAAAATTAGGACCAGAGATTTCGATTTTATACGTACACAGTAGAACCTCGATTGTTGCACGAGAGCTTCAATCGGGGGTGAAAAATCCTGCAATAATTGAGGTTCGACTGTGCACGAGCGACTGTCGTTGGTTATGAAACGAAACCAGAATTAACGATCAAAAAACTAGACATAATTAGAATATCTGGATAAGTCGAATACTACTTGCTTCCTAATAAGTGACTCGTCCATCGGCATTATTCACGAAAGAAACGCGAATACGTGATCGTCTCGCTTCCCATCGACGGTGACATACATTAAAGTCAAGCTTGATTTATAAATTGTTTTTTTCCTGTGGGGTAACGTTTGCGGGGGATCGTTTGCCGACATTTTAAGCCCTCGTTTGCTTAAAGCGACAACAAGTAGCTCATAATAATACTTACGTGTATGCATTGACGTTTTGGCATTTAATTTCCGTGACAGTGTCGAGAAAAACTGACTTTTTGTCGCCTTCTCGTATCGGTAACACATTTATTGGCTAGTCGAGCAATTTTGCTACGTGCACATATTTATTAACAAATTGTTAAAAACGTTATCGTGCAAATGATTCAACGTTGAAGAGAATTCCTAAGTGATCTTCTCGACCGCGAAATTTAATGCAAAATAAATATTTATTTTACGTTTTCGACTTACTCTGACACCCGGAAACCTCTTGCATAATATTCTGCGACGTCTCATATGTACATACAAGGTCTTCCGCGTTTCTCCCAGCAAACTGCACGAGTATAGTCTACAAATGAAACGAGCGGAAATAAAATATTATTTATAGGAAGATTATAAATTTTGTTAATATCTTTGTGACAAAGGTACAAGGAAATATTGAATAAAATTGATAACATAGGGTATTCCATTGCAGAATGTAGAAGGTTGATCATGTTTATCTTATCTCTCTATTTGTATAATGTTTACTATCTTGAAGCGATTCGGTATGATTAATAGTTTGTATCAGTAATAACGATGTCATAATAATTTCTCACTTTAAAATGTCATTGCACGTTGATAGAATCTTCGCAGCGACCTGGCACAACATTTATTACATTGCGTGTTTCATGACAGTTTTGCTAAATCAGAATTTACTTATTAATTCATACGAACTAGCTTTTAAAATTATTATCGGTTTCGGGGGTAAATTGCAAGCATTTTTAGTCATTACACACACCCCCGAAATCCTATTCACTTTCGAGAAAAAAAATCAAGAAGGTGTGAAATTTTTCGACGGGAAAAAAAATTTCAAACTGTTTTGGAAAAATTATTTTCGGTTGCGGGGGTCAATTACAACCATTTTTGGTCATTACGCATATCCCCGAAATCCTACGCATTTTCGAGAAAAAAATTCCTCACCGAAAATCTAATTAGGTGCCTAAGAAAAAAAAAAATTTCAAATCGTTCTGGAAAAATTATTTTCGGTTGTGGGGTTCAATTACACTCATTTTTGGTGAATAGACATACCCCTGAAAACTTGCGCATTTTCGAGAAAAAAATTCAATACTAGCGGAACTTTAAACGTTAATAAGTTTTTAACGAAGCCTCCATCAACAAATTGGTATTCTTGATTTTCGTCTTATTTTAGCCTCTAGAATCTCCCATTAAAATTTTTCCCAGGTGTGGCCGAACCATGGATCGAACAAACACAATCGACCTTTTCACATTAAAAAAAAAACCTATGAGGCCCCCTTCTTTAATTTAAAAAAGAAAATGGAGTCTATATCTTCATTGGTTTCTGAGAAAACACCTTGTACATAACAGTTTACTTCGACCACATGGTACACAAACGCCACCACAAGTAGAAATAACAAATAATAGTCTGACGCGTGAGTCAAGTCGCCTCGAGCATACGCAAACCAGAATTTTCAGAGCAATTTTCCTAAAAAACGAAGCCCCGCATGAAAATATTTTGTTCCTCGTTTTCAATTTATCTTCACGCGATAAATTACGATTTAACAAATCGCAATTTCGCACTCCCGTAAACCATTTCCAAGAATTTCAAGTAGCACGTAAATAATAAATAATTGATCACTGAAACATAATTTTGTTCACCCGCTTATTAAACGTTTCGCCAGGGACCTTAAATTTCGCACGACCCTGAGCGCACTAATGGATGCATAGTACGAAATCAAATTTCACTTCAGCGATGCAGGACGTCCGCGTATTTTCTGTCGCCGCTTCGGCATACAAATTCACTGTGAAACCTTGCACGATCGACTTTATTCGTATCGCGCAAGGATTCGTCGTGGCGTTAAAAAATGATTACGTATTTTCTTGGTTCGCGACGGTTTTAAAATCGTTTAAAATAATTCGACATTTTCGCGGCAACAATAGTAATGTAACTTATTAAATTAAGAATTTAACGTCGATAAATTCCAGAAACATTGCCTTTTCTAAATGGTGCGTATGAATGGTGACTTTTTTCTAGTTACAAGTTGTACGATTTCACTCTATAATTTGCTATTCGTTTTCTTATCTAGTAATCTTCTGGAATCCTTAGCCAGAGTTCAAATACTTTTCAGAACTACTTCTGGTACATACGTGTTTACAATTAACATGTATATTTCATTAGTTGAATGATATAAATCTAAGCGTTTGAATACTTTAGTCCACGACTGTACCTGCCTTCGCTACAATAATAAATTCCACAGTTAAATTAAACGAAAGATTGATAATTTATTGCTCCTGATTACCCACAATCTGAATACAATTGATACCCAGTTACGATCGACTGCATTAAATTTCATTCAACTATTTCGGTACCGAATACACACGTCGAACGTGCATCGAATGCTTTGCTACATGTGGCGCATCCTAGCGCCAACTATTTACTTTTTTACGTACAAAACCGCAACCGTTACCAAACTCGAGCGACCTCAACGCCGAGCACATGCTCTGTTTACATTTTAAGTTCTGAAAGTTTGCTTTATCCTTTATTCGCGTTTCGACGCCTGGACGATTGATTTTTCAGTTGAAAAGCACTTCACGGGTCGTCCAAGAATACCGTTGAAACGAATATCGTTGGCAACGATCAATTTAGAAGCTGTGCAAACACGATCCGAACGTTCCCGAAAGTGTGCCTGAAACATCGACGACATGTTCCCTTCGGGTCGAGCAATATCACACATCGTTCTCACAGAGGAGACAAGACACGATCGCATTTTTATCAAATCGTTTCGCTCGCGCATTGACGCACGCCGACCGAGGTCATTGTCGTTGGCCAGTGGAATTTAGTCCGGTTGAAAATTCTGTGATTCAGTTTATCGAGGACAACGCAGATTTTTTCGTGAAAGTGCCGCGATACCGCCATGGAGATTTCACGTTCGTATCAGAGACGAGCAAAATCTTTATCTTTGATTAGAATTTCGAATAACGATTAATGATAACATACGGATAAATTGAGTATTAATAAAATTATTTCTCATCGATTGAAAAATTAAATCCATTTATGTCTGTATTACCGAAAACACGTATGAGCGGTTTCGAGTACGATTTTCCTCCTATCAAACTGGATACAACGAGTATGCGTTATCTCGCGGCACTCGTTGTTGAGCGTTAAAACTGGAGCGGTACTCGATTGAAACTTATCTGCAACAATGCAATCTGAATACACCGGTGACGTCAATGCACCGTAAAACACGGGCTCTGCTTACGAACTGAACACAAGCTACGAGCTTATTTTTCCGCTTCTCTGGCTCCCAAGTAACCGAAGGCTGAAACCGAAGGTGTATGACTTATCTTGCCAGCAAAATCTTTGCCTAAATGGTGTTCCAAAAATTCGACGTGGCAAAAAATTCTATGTAAATTTTAAGCCATCCGGTCAACTAAAACACCTGTTCAAAATATGAGCTAAGAAAGAACATTTTTATTTAATCTGTTCATAAGTAAACGAAGAAAGGGTATTTTTTTTTCTTTTATTTTACAGAATAATTGTCAAATTTATTTTCTTATCTATCGAACAATTAATTGAAATTTGTTATCAACGAGTTACTGTCGTACTTATGTACATCAGAACGACGAATAATTTTAACATTAAAACATACTACAGAATTTCCACGCAACTTTCGATCTTCTTTCGATAACCGTTCCTCGAGAGCTGTTTTGTTGGTTATGCGGCAACATTTGCATCGAAGACAACTCGTTATACATTCCTCGCATATTTTACCCAGGGCGTGCTATGATTACTGCGTTCGAACGATCGAGATCGCACGCGGAATGCAAATGTTCACGTGTGCCCGCAAACGTGGCTTGAAATCATCAATCGACTCGCCGAAGATCGCGTGATCCGTTGAAAAATTGAAAAAGAATCATTAATAAAAACAGCAATAAAAACAAAACAAAAATTTCCTAATCAGTACAATTAGATCGAGTAAATAATTTGAAAAACTGTACAAAATTTAATATTAATAGTCTTTGTGCTATATTTAGCACTATTGAACAATTAAGCGTCGGGGGATATTTATATCTTTCACGTTTGTTTTGCATCAAACCGGATATGCGTATCTAATGGATGTGTTGAAAATACGGACAAAACAGTAATAAACTCCGGTTTCCATGTGTCGTTTCAAGGATAAAACGTAAGCAATTGTGAAATACCGCACAATGGGATTGAATAACTACCGTTTTATTGTTTGAAGCTGACGCCGCGTTTGCCACAACCTGTCCCCACTGATTTGTGCTTCCTAAAACGTGTAATTTTGTGGTTAGAAATGAAACCTTTTCGAGCAGCGAAGTATTTCAGGCGGGAAATACAGTACGTTTTCTTGTAAAATTATCTTCTAAAACGATCGTTACGAAAATTTCAGAAGTTATGTCGAAAACTATTAAATATAAAACACGGTCATCGTTCATATTTCCGAACTGGTAATTAGTTCTTACGTCTCTCACAGAGGGAACGAGCGTAGGGTTTCAGTCTTCGTTGGTCGGTGTAGAAAACGTAATCTACTTTGTTCGTGTGTGCAAAACTATTTTATATTGGTAAGTATAACGTGCATCCTGTTAAGAAATAAAGAAATCTTTAATCACGAAAAATAGTCCATTAACTTTGTTATCCCCTTTAACTACGTTTCGCTTCTAACAAACGTCATTTCATAACGTACTCGCTAATGTCGAACGAAATTGTCCGGTGTGCTTCGTTTGCAATCGTTCGAGGCCTGCCACTGCGTACGTCCAGATGACTAATTGGGCAATTGTTGCAATTATCATCGCGACAATGATTCTTGTGCCAGAGGAAGCAAGCTCGAATCCTCACCGACCGCGTACAACTATTACTGTTTTCCACGATCGATCTCCACCGACTCGTAACACTGCACGACCTTGTCTGCCCGTAATACGAGTGTCGCGAATCACAACAACGATAAAGCCGTAACCGAAATCGCCCGACGGGAAACTGCGAGCCCAATTTCACGATGTCCTCACGTGCGGACCTTGTCGGGCAGATTAAAATGAACGGCGTATCGTGAAATCGAAAACTACGTTCGAACCACCTGCCCCTATACAAATATCACTGTCGAAGCACGCACCCTACGATAATAACGTGCCAATAAGAATAATAATAATCAACCTTCGTCGCTAAGAAAGTGCAATACACCATTCAAGATGTCGAATACATTATTCAGGTACATGAAAATCCGTTGTCCATTTGAATTTCGAAACATTCGCCAGCGTGTGATCGTTTTCTCTTTGATTATTAACACATTCGCGTGTCACGAATTTTCGTAATAGATCAACGTCACGTAAAATTAAAACGTAAGTTTCGAAATTGTTGCAAAGGGTTCGATGAAGAAAATTTTGAGAAAAAAAAGAATTGTTAAGATTCTCCGAAGATAGATACGAGTTCTCGCGAATGCGCTTTTTCTTTAACCTCGCGCTCGTAGCACGTGTTCGATCATCGTATTCACAATTGCCTGAACGTTACGCGTCAACCGTCCAATTGGTCGAATCGCGTCCGTTCTCTCGATGTACAGGAGAGCATGCGACGCATCATAATTGGATCAAGTGGCAGCCGCGTCGCGTTAATTAGCACGAATCTTCATCACTAAATATATAAATTGCTAAACTCAATTAAACCTGTCGTTCCGAAGGGCGTGCATTTACGTCGAACAGTATGCAAAGATGCTCGTACTTCCTAGTTGCGTTTCTCGCGATTTAAAATCGAGGAACAGTTACCGGGCGTTTGAACTTCCAATCCGACCGCTTTGAAACTAGCACCGTTCATTTTTCAAACGTCATTTTAACGCTTGCGATGGTAAATTTGCAAAATCTTTGAAAGGAGATTAAGATTCACGAAATCGCATTTAATGTCGGCTAGATTAAATTCTTAGTAGATTTCTTTGGTTCCAGCCTTCGAAGAAGGAACAGACGCGACTGAACCATAATGCCAATCAGAAGGATCACCGAAGGCAGAAAGATGCTTCGTCGGGCAGCACCTATAGCGCCTTTCGTCAATGGCGGAGGAACGCTTCTGTGGGCACGAATCGGTCCAACAGCGTTGGGTCCAGCTCGACCCGGGCTGTCGCCAAGCTTCCCCATGATTCAGCGACGCTACAGAAAATGGAACAATTCCCTCTGGTTCTCTCCGATGCTACCATGCCGGAAGAGGACCTCTCGTTGAAGTTCCTAGCGCTGGTATTGATCTTTTCTTTGATACCTTGACGGCCGTAGTCACGTGCACGTGATTACCATATTTATTGGTAAATTCGTGTAGCTTACATTTCTTTGTACTTTCGTTGCAGAATGCTTTGGATCTGACTGCGCCAGCCAGCGACGTTCTATTGAAGAACAGATTAAAATCTTGGTTCCAATTGTCGGGCCATCCGGATGGCTTTGCGCCAGCCGGACCCGGCACAGTTTGGAAAAGAAAAATGGGAGGATCGGAGAATACAGAGAGGATCGTTTACGAGGCGCTGAGCAAAGACAAGGAATTACGTGACTGCATACCAAGGTAAATAGTCCCAACGATAGGAAATTATGCGTGCAGGTTACGCATACCGTGTACATCAGGCTTTCTTATTTTCTGCCATTCAGCCTTTTAAATTATGCTCAACATTTTCGTAGATACTACCGAGAAGTGGAGTACAAAGGCGACACGTTCATAGAACTGCAGGATCTGCTGTTTGGCTTCAACGATCCGCACGTAATGGACATCAAGATGGGCACAAGAACGTTCCTCGAGTCCGAGGTGTCGAAGACGATCGCGAGATCGGATCTTTATCAGAAGATGATCGCCGTCGATCCCGACGCGCCCACGAAGCAAGAACACGAGCAACGTGCCGTGACTAAGTTACGGTACATGCAGTTCCGTGAGCAACAGAGCTCGACGCGTAGCCACGGATTCCGAATCGAGGCTATGAAATTACCTGGAGCGCCGCCCATTACCGATCTGAAGAAAGTGAAGTCTCACCAGGAAGTACTCGACACCATGAAGCTCTTTCTAGGGGCGCGCGAGGCCACGCGAGAAAAGCTGCTCGTGCGCTTGAAGAGTCTTCGTTCGAAAATCGAAGCGTCGGAGTACTTTAAAAGTCACGAGGTGCGTATTGTTGTTGCATCAATTCGTCGTTTCTGACTGTAAAAATAATATTTAATTAATAGTATCAGTCCTAGTTCGAACACACTGAAACTTTTATCACGTACGTAATTATGTTTCAAACTAATCAAAATGCAAAATAGTTACTCGTATAAAAAACCGTTTCGCTTGGAGAGGGAAATGTACTGTTGGTCTTGAACTTTTTGCCAGATCATTGCTTTCAAAGACTTCGGTATCACCTTCATTTTTTTTTTTTTAATAGAATCGTAAACTTTTATTGCGTGCATCTCATTTGATAATAATTAAATGTGCATTTCACGTACCTTGTTAACTCGTTTAAGCAATAGGATCTTCTTACGCAACAGTTTTTATCTCTCAGTGTGTATTTTAACCAAAACAAAACACGTAAAATACTCTATCGACGAGTGAAAACAGTGACACAACTTACTTGGTACGTCGAGCAACGACGACTGGGGCCTGGAATTTTAACCTAGCCTCTTCCCGTGGCAGACTGACGCTAACCTGCATTGTAACAGAGGTTATAAGAATCGTGACCGACTCTTGCGGCGTACTAATAGGAACTAAAATTCAATCACAATCGTCATTTGCGTCTGACTCGTGACATTCATGTTTAGATCAAAATCTTCATCACGAGTCAGACTCGTTCAAGTACGGGAAGGGGTTAAAGAATGCCACGAGCCAAAGAAATTTAATTTTCTCCGGCCAACTGATAATGCTTCCGACATTCCCTTGATATACCGGGTATCGTGTCTACCCCGCTTCCTCTCGTTATATCTACGGTGATACCTTGAGAAATTGTTGTTATCTCCGCCAGTTCTTGGAATCCCCGCTTGTCCCGTCGGCCAAGTATGTTTATGTTTTTAAATTTGTGAGATATCGATGTGCCGTGTTGTGCATCTCTATCTCGGTCGCACGCTCTGAAAGAAAAAGACACTCTGGATTTCCTGGAAGATCTAACCTACCTTCGACCTTGGCCAGTTCCAGTCCCGAACGTCGACCAATGTCCAAGGCGTTGCTGATAACACGCGCGATAATTTGTTTTGCAGATTATCGGTAGCAGTATCTTTATGATCTACGACGACGACAAGGTTGGCGTGTGGTTGATCGACTTCGCTAAAACACAGAAATTGCCGAGCGGGCAAAGAGTGACGCACAGAAAGCCCTGGGAGCAAGGCAACCACGAAGAAGGTTTTCTATTTGGTCTCGATGTTCTTATCTCGACGATGGAGGAAACTGCCCTCTCGAAGGCGGCGTAGTCTTTGTCACTCGTTAATATCCCCGTTCTGGTATCATCGTAATAACTTTCAAAGTTAATCATCATTATTCACGTTTATAAATTAGCCAATGGATATTCAATTTTCGCTTAAAAATGTACCTTTATTCATTTTACAAATAGTTTTTTTTTTAACACGATTTATAATATACCTAAGACTTTGTAATACTGACAATTTAATTAATGATCGCTCTATCGTCGGTTCAGTGTTTTTCAAATGCCTTTTTCGTTCTTCCTGCGAATTCAAAGTACGAGACTGTAAACGGTATAAAAATGATTTAAAATACTTTGAAACAACTTGAAACAATTTGACAAACACTGACGGATAAGGTATTCAAAGCGAAAGACTGCTTATTACTGCATTTTTTCTATAAGCCTTTTCAATCGAGGAAGTTTCGCAAACGGTACTCCCGTCACATATTTAGTATATGTACAAAATTTATTATTAATGTACAAATATAGTTAATTAAATGTAACCGTTTAAAAATTATTTATGAAGAACAGTTAGACTATAAAATGTACACGTTTCTTAAACGAAATACTCGGTACCAGAAACAATTTCGATTTAAACGTTAAATATATTCGTATCTCTGTATTAAATTATTTTCTTCTGTAACTGCCGCAAATTTCATTCCGAAGAAAAATATTTGTAATAAAAACCATTTATAGACTATATACAAGTCTATTTAATGGCGATTTCTGTAATCTTCGCTGCAACTATCAATATAATTCGAACGAATATCCGTTTGCTGCGTTAAAAGTAACTACTATACAGAATAAACAAACTATTACAAATATTTAATAATTATGTGAAAACAATTACATAACGATGTATACAATTTTTTAAGAACTGTTAAATAATCAGAGCTATTCGAAAAGTAATTCGTATTTATATTCTCCGCGTTGTTCGTTTCCCGCTGATATTATATTTGCATCTACATAATGCTAGTAGAAAATAAATCTTAAATAAATACATGGTATACTCACTTCCTTTATAACCTCAGTTTCCATGAACGTCACTCAATAATTGATTCTATATCAACATTGAGCAATTCCTCCGCCTGTTTTGGCTTTGAATTAATTATAGACTCGTACCATCGAACTTCAGCGACTGCCAGACACCTTCGCCTGTATGTACAATTTATGCATACATAAAATGTGAAAAAAATAACATAATCACGCTAAAAATAGACCACTGCAAAATTCATTTACTAACATGTCAATTCGATCGTTCTGTGGTTTTCTCACGGGATTCCATCCGGACACTGGCTTTTCATTCGCCACCATCAGACCTCGAGTGACGAAAGATAATGTGACTTTAGTCAGATTCGAGTCCTAAAATTATTCGTTTAAAGAAACATTAGTTTCGTAAAACTTAAATTTTTGTTAAACCTTTCTTTATTAATTTTTCGTGAAACGAAATGTAACAAAAGTAACGGACGTACACGCCATTCGGTATTTAAAACGTCCGCTAAACTTAAAATGTTTGCAGCGACGTTCGCTTCCTCTATCCCTCCTATAGTATTTAAATAATTCTCCTGAATAAACTTTAGAAATATTGTCGCTTGCGATTGAAAATAAGCTGCTATGTCATCAGGATCGTGAACAAATTTCCACGAATTTCCGCTTTGAATTCCTACAATTTTATACTACTTCATTAATTACTAAGACTCGCCAATTTATATTTCGCCGTTTTTTTTTTATTTTTTTACACTCACTTTTTGGATTTATTACTCGACCAACGCCATGTAGAAGCCCTACATTCTCTTCTCGAGAAGTACATTTATTTTCAAGTTGTTTCTCAGGCACTAGCAACAACATAATAATATTGCATTTAGAAATCGAACGTCTTTTCGTCGCTAATTACGCTTACCTTTCAGTGAAATGAAAATAAGATTTAAGACAACATTTCTAATATCTCCTACACTGTTGGATAATATTTCATCTATTTTATTTTGAGAAACGTGCATCATGTGCCCAGCAATTGTATTTAAAGTATCACTTATTCGTTTTAACGCATTCTTCATTGCAGTTTGTGTAACAGAATTTATGCTGGATTGCAAAGACTTTAATAAGCGCATATATACAGTGAAATAAAACAATATATTATTAACTTACTCACTTGATCAGGTCTATATTAAACTTTTCTCTTACATCAACAGGAAACAGTGTTTGCAGCAATTTTGAATTTCCCGATTCTGAGCATACAAACACTATAGGTTCTTTTCCCATTTCAAAGTATTTTCTGAAAATATAAAAAAATCGTAAATAAATAAAAAAATATATAAGAACTAAATATAATAATTTTACTTACTCCAACAGTGAAAAGAAGCTACTTTTATCTTCGAGGTAAACATTTGGGAAATCCTTTACAAGAAGAAGACGTTTGGGGTTGTTACCCAAAATTGAATTATAACGAGTTACTCTGATTAAAAAGTCCTCGAATCTATCTCCTTGACGCATCACCCTGTCTGGAAAATAATAAATAATTAGTGTGTTTCTATTAAAGTCATTAATTTATGTTTATCAATATGATTACTATTTTCATCCATGGCTTGATCGATTGGAGTGATCCACTCTGTAACATTAAATCCGTTCTCCTTGGCAAGTAGTCTCATTGCTGCTGTCTTCCCACAGCCGGATGGACCAGACAAAATTAATGCACTAGGTCGACCCTTCTGAACTTTAAATTGTAACCATCCTGAGATATCTTTCTGTTTTTGTTTACTGACCACTAATTCAGAAGGCTTTCGTGGGTCGCAAGCTTCTAGCAAAGTGGACAGACTACTTATACTTTTCTTCCTAGGAACTATGTCATAGGTACTTGAAATATTGGGTATACTGCTTCCCATTGTTTGCGAGAGAGAATGTTTGGTTGACAATGATTTCTTAACAGATTTAGGTGGTGAATCGAATGATGGTGTCAGCCAACTGCTGTTTCTCTAAATACACGAATATATTTAATATAACATGTGTATAACGTATCATTTACGAAATATCGAAAAATATTTAATTTTTTAACATACCTTTGAATGAGCCATACTGTGAATCGTATAAATTTTTAATTCGTAAAAAACATATCACTGTAAAGATACAAAGAATATCGCGTGAAATAACTTTATGTACATAATTCGTAAACAATCACGACTTTATTTTGACAAGTTACAATTTCTCGATTAAATACATTCGTACTGCGTTTCTGTAATCAAATGTTCAGGTTAATCATTTGTCGATCATTAATAATAACAGTTATACGAAATAACGTATACATCGTACGAGTTATTCGATCTACGTATGTTTAGTCATTATTACGAAATTCTCTTCCAATTGCAATAAAGAACATTTTTACTTCGATCAACCATCGTTTGCTACTTGGAAATGCATTTAAGCTTATAGGCTTGCTGAACAATTAAATATTCATATATTATTATAATTATAATACATAAATGTTTAATAAATTGCAATATCATTTATAAGTACAATACATTGCACATTTGACATCCAAGTATTGCATATTTTTTGCATGTAATTTATGTTGTAATTATACAGTTTTCAGTTAAAAGTAGATTATATAATGTTAAAACATTTTAAACGAAGCATATTGTCCTTTACTAGATTTAAATCGACTTCGTTATAGTTCGAAGTTTATATTAAATTTTGTTCGATCTTGTATCATACGATTTTATTTTTATTGTTTACAATTTATTTACATTGTATTTGAGTCAAATTAAATACATTTGATATAACATGTTTTTTTTATCTTGCAAATGTACCGTAGTATAAATAGCTTAATACTTTTTGTAGGGAATATCGAGCTGTATCCATTAATTTGTTAAAAATTATATATTTATATTTTCCTCGAAACCGTTATAATTTTTGAATTTTCTTCGAATGATTTATATTGATAGATTGAAAACAGGTACCCTGTATACAGAGATGCCAGAAAAGCACCGCCGGGTGCACACGCACACATGCCAGATACGCGTACGTGAGCTCGTGGAGTTTCGGAAAGTCGACAAAGGCAAACTGACGCATGCCCTCTTTCTCGATTCTCCGAAGCTGCCCGAAGTAATATCGGATCGCCTCGTGGGAGTCGAGAGAGAAAGGCTCACATTTGCCTTCTCGCTCTAAACAACTGAAATCCGACCTCCCGTCAACGGCATACGATTTGGATTCTCGAGCCGAGATTCTCGACTGCCCAGGCATTTTTACTTTCCGACCTATGTAGGCGCACATAAGCAAAGTACCCATAATGAAAAAAAAATTTTGTAAAATTTATTTTACGGAAATACACGTTTTAAGACCTCCTGATCATATTTTAATTATTGAAAAAAAAGACATTTTTTTTTATTCCCATGTATGAGCGCACATATGTATATTATTAATACGATTTTTGAAAATCAAAATACTTTAAGATTGAAAATTAATAAATTAAAATGAGATTCCCCTCTTTACCAGTATTGTACACGCTGTGGTATTTTTCAATAAGAAGAGTACTTACTTTTATAACATAAACAAAACAGTAGAATTAATAATTGCAGAAATTAATTAATAATGATTTTCCTCGATTGTTTTGAGATAACCGTATCAATTGGTTATGACGAACTAAATAGAACTAACTAGAAACAAAGGAAAAGTGATCCCGTTTGCCAGTTTAATACGAAGTATGGGTTGTATCTTAAATTTTAAAAGGACATAGTCGAATATTTTTAAAGGTACAAAACATAGCGTTTCATTGTAGAACAGTAACATAAGTTAGCAGGTAATGTCATAAAACTGTTTTTCCCAGCTAATATCCCTTTTTACCTGAAGTATAAGGTAAAAAGTACGAGCTACAAGGTACGACTATCCGAAAATCGTTCACATTTTATCAATGTAAATGAAGCGGCCTTTCCATCAGAGTTAAATACAAAATTTTGTAATTTCTGTGAAAACAAAACTTTCAGTAAATGTACGTGGTGCTTGAAATTTTTATGTTTTGACTGTTTTTGTGAAAAGTACCATCCAGATTCATGTACTTCGTACATTGAAAATAACATATGTTAAATGTAATCGGTTAAATATAACTTTAAAAAAAAATATTCGAAGGTCAGACAAAAATATAATGTCACATTTAGTGTACGATTAAAATATGATTGAAAAAATAAAAGAAAAGGATTTGTTTTGGCAGGGTTTGAACCTGCAGAGCAGAAAAAGCTCGGAACTTGCAGGCAAATACCTTGTCATTCACGCCACGCTGATTGTTGAACGTATTTCTATTTTTGAAGATAAGTACCTGTAATAACTTTAATAATATCTCAAAGTAAAACCTAACCCAAAACCTGGTACCATTCCAACTTTTCCTTGTTAGAACCGAGTTTTCAATTTGTCTTAGCGAAAATCGCAATCACATTTTGCACATTATTCTAAAACATTTGTGGTATTCGTTTTCAATGCGATTTAAGTAAGCATGTAATGTATAAGATTTCATTTAATGTTTTCTTTTCTAGCGAAGATAGAGAAAAAGTTTATATAATTTTTTTCATATAAAATTTAATTCGTCCTAAGATTTATATGAAACATTTAAAAGATTTTTTATACATTATGCCTATATATCGGAACAACTATGAAACAAGAGGTATAATCTGTAAGGAGTGTATGTGTGTGGCTAGGAGAACCGTTATCGTTTGCGTCGATAGGAGTGTTTAGTCTAAGCTAGAGTAGGTATCGAGTGAGGTGTTTAGGTTTAAGCTGAAATACGTTTTAGAGACTGCGTCTCGAACGTGCGTTTTGTTTAGATCATTATTATAAGATAGGAATAAGGAAGGGTCGACTTTGACTGCAGGAACGTCACTCTGTATCGAACGTTAGTCGAGAGCAATCACAGTTTTACGTTTATGATCTTTTACGTTTACGTTTTATGTCTTTCTTTTATGTTCTTTATGTTAAATAGTTAGTAAATATTAAATAATATAATTACATCGTTACGATTAGTGTTCACGTATTTGAATCCGTCCACACGCCTTTGAAATGAGAACATAAAACTTAAATGTAAAGTTTCATTTAAATTCATTCAGCTATTTATATTCAATCGTATTAATAATATACATATGTGTGCTCATACATGGGAATAAAAAAAAATGTCTTTTTTTTCAATAATTAAAATATGATCAGGAGGTCTTAAAACGTGTATTTCCGTAAAATAAATTTTACAAAATTTGTTTTTCATTATGGGTACTTTGCTTATGTGCGCCTACATAGGTCGGAAAGTAAAAATGCCTGGGCAGTCGAGAATCTCGGCTCGAGAATCCAAATCATATGCCGTTGACGGGTGGTCGGATTTCAGTTGTTTAGAGCGAGAAGGCAAATGTGAGCCTTTCTCTCTCGACTCCCACGAGGCGATCCGAAATTACTTCGGGCAGCTTCGGAGAATCGAGAAAGAGAGCATGCGTCAGTTTGCCTTTGTCGACTTTCCGAAACTCCACGAGCTCACGTACGCGTATCTGGCATGTGTGCGTGTGCACCCGGCGGTGCTTTTCTGGCATCTCTGCCTGTATACAATGTAGAAAATTAATATTACTAGAAACATGTAATACGAGTATTGAAACGAATATTATTCTATCAAATAATGCACAAACTTCATATACATAATTTATTTTTATCGTATAGTAATTTTTTCAAAAATAAACCAAACGAACTTATGAATCTATTTTGACTAGTTTTTCACGGAGAATACGAATTCGAGGTTAGAATCTAACTGTTATTGATAGGTTAATACTATCAGTTATACGGGCGTATAACAGTTTGCAGTACTGTATAATTTTTGTATGGTAATAAGTTGAACCTATAGGTAAATACTGTGATTGTGTTTAAACGATTTTGTAAATTATGAATGTATCATGCACTTGTTAATACGAATTGTGCAATACTTTTATAAAATACGTGTACGATGTCTTAGTTCCTATTTTCATTTGAATAAATGTTAATTATGCATTATACGTTACATTTTATTATTATTTTACTTTAAATGCTAAGAAATATGAAATGTCTATAACTCGATTGTGCATTTTCTTTAAGACATTAACTAATATGGCACCGTCGTACTATGCTGTAGCCAAAGGCCATAAACCTGGAATTTACAGCACTTGGTAAACAAATTTTATTTTTCAATTTTTTCAATATATTATTTTAAATTTATCTCACGAAAATTGTATCTATTTTCGATAAGGGATGAGTGTAAAACACAGATTCACCAATATCCTGGTGCTGCATTCAAAAAGTTCAAATTACAAACAGAGGCTGAAAATTTCATAAAAGAAAAGAGAGGTCCAATTAAAGAAAGTAACAGTAACAACACAATACCCACAGAAAAGCGAAGGTACGGTAATTGTTATATAGTTTTAAGTAGAAGTATTTTAATTTATAATCTATTTCAGACGAGCGTTAAGAAGAAAAGCACCTCCAATAGTTAATAATAAACAATCTAATCCAAAAAAATGTAAAGTAATAGACTTGGAAAGCGAATGTGTTCAACGAAAAGTAAGTACTTATGTATATCTTTTAATTACTTTTAGACCTACTGGAACATTCCAAATACTTCTCTGTTTTAAGTTTTCAAGAACAATTTAATTTCTTCGATTAGAACGACCAGTTTTCTTTATTCCAGAACTTTAATCATATTGATCAAATTCATAAGATTTTTACTCTCTTTTTAGAAATTATCAGATTATATTATGGATGATAATGGATATGTGAATGTATATACAGACGGTGCCTGTAGTTCAAATGGCAGGAGAAATGCGCGAGCGGGTATAGGCGTTTGGTTTGGCGATGGTCATCCCATGTATATTTCATTATAATTACATTCAATTTTCAAGATGACATAGTTACTGTGTTTGAAGAAAGTTGATGGTTACAGGAATATATCGCAACCTGTTGTCGGTAGAGCAACCAACAATATGGCAGAAATTCAGGCGGTTACCGCGGCCGCGAAACTAGCGAAACAAGTGGGCATTAAAAAATTAAAGATCCACACAGACTCGCAATTTCTCATCAAATGTATAACGCGATGGTTGCCGAAATGGAAAAAGAACGGATGGAAAACCGTGGACAAGAAACCCGTTATAAATAAGATTGAATTGCTAGAAATGGAAGAAGCTCTCGCGTCTTTGAACGTGATCTGGGTAAGAATAATACCGCGTAATTTCGTTATTTTTTATTTTCGTCTTATTTCGAGCCATGCAATCTACCTGAAGAAATTTGGCATAAATTAATTTTTTATAAGGATCACACTGTCCATTAGTACTACATATTGGATATCCTTTACAATTGCTAACTTTTCAATGATGTTTTAGAAACATGTCAATGGCCACGTGGGAATTTATGGTAATGAAATGGCTGATAGACTGGCGAAGGCAGGCAGTTTAAAATATTAATTGTATTTTTTTATTACATGGAATATTTTTTATTTTTAGTCATGTAACTATTTATATATTTTCAGTTACATTGTACGTATTAAAACATAATTACGCGTAATATTACTTGATAAATATTTGAAACAATAAACGTAAATAAGAAAAATACAAAAATAGATGCTAATTTGTGGTTTATGTATCAGTTGCGTCTTCAACATTGTTAACATCCGGTTCTCTATCTTTCGTCTGCGGGCATATTTCTTTCAACAGAATATATATGTCCTCTGGTGATATTTGAAGTGCAAGAAGTTCCACTATAATACTAAAAAAAAAATGATTTTTTTAAATTGATAAATAATTTTAATATTGTTTTGACGCGTTGTCGCACGAGTTAATATATTAAAATATTTTCCAATATCTATTTACGTATGTACGATACGCATTTTACAATTCTATAACCTCAAAACTACTATCCTTACCACCAAATATCAAGACGTAACTAAGGCTGTTAAAAACTATTGAAAAAATTAATTTATACGTGTTGTAAATTATTACCGATAAACTCCCGGAACTGCGAAAATTCCTGCTAATTCCGCCAACGTTATTAATTCTGTTTGATGAGCTTGCGGGAACGTCATTTTATCCATCGATGAAATTCAAATAGTACGGAAATCTAATTTGCTGCGTAAGATTCTGCTTTTTTATGAACAAACTACAATTTTATTTTTGATATTTGATCTCAGAAGTCACCAAAATGATTTAATATACTTCGTTGAGTGAGTGAACTTTTATAAACATAGCTACGCAATTTCCGGTAGAATTTATATGATGGGACGCTGCACCCCAAATAAATAAATTTCATGATGGAAATAATTATTTATGCATAATGATTGCAGTTTTATAATGAAGAAATAAAAGAAACTATATAAAGATATCAAATAAAAATATATTTATAATATATTTATCGATGCAACCATGCGTCGGAATCTCTAGCTGAAAGTACCAATAATAAGTTTCTGTGTAAGCACACAGTTTTGTTTATAGAGTTTTATTATAGCTGGGCAAAGAATAAGAGTAGGAAACCTCAAATTAAAGATCGAATAATTCGATTCGATCCTTCTGTTCGACTTTCGACTGCAATCGACTTGAGATCACAAGATTAGAATGTAGAAACGGGTAGGTTATTTTTTTTTCTATGCAATGGCAAGGTTATCGGGCACGATTGCACGTAATTATACTGTACTAATCACCAATTGCTGCGAGCAATTAATTTCAGCAATAGAATAAACTAAATCACGATTAATTCCGACCATATCTTCATCCCTGTAATCGATTAATACTCCATTTTGCTTGTAAGTGTATTAAACTTTTTTATCATTTATTAAGAAACGCATGTATAACATTTATTATTCACGATCTTATTCTATTTACAAAATTTGTTCAAATTGAATTACTCATGGACTTTACCCAGTGTTATAAAGATATTAATCGATAAATTCTTCGTTCCTGTAATGTAAACACAGTTTAGAATTACGAGGATTGACGATATTTACTTTGATCGAAGTAAATAATGCTGTAAAGCTCGGCATCCTGGCATCGAAGACACCTTATATTGCAGTAAATCGTAGGAATTTATTATTCTCCTCACTTTCGTTCTGCAAGACAGATGTATGATTATTATTAGCGTATAGACACGTATCGTATAATTTCACTTAAATTCGTACCTCTGTGCGAACTTCTAGATACGGATGAAACGCGAGATTGGCAAAATATCGAAGAATTATTGAACGTCGATGTGATAGTTTCATCAGGAGAATCGAGAGGATTGTACAAATTCAGATGTGACGATTCGTCACCGTTCGAAGCAGATGCAGCGCATATTGTATTATCGAGCGAAGTAACATCGAATATACTAGTCGAATTAGCAAGATCTTTCATTGTCATGTCAGCGTCCATGTATGTGTCACTCTATCCATGCATTTAAGAAAAGTAACAAAATATTCGAACATGGATAACATGTATTATGATTACTTACATCGCTTTCGAATGTTTCATCGAATTTCCTGGCTTCCCTAAATCTCTGAAGAATTCGTTCGTGCGGTGATGTTACCGTAAATTGACGAGGATAAGAAAATTCTTTCTTGGCGGGCGTTGTTCCTGAAAATCAGCAAAGTGAACGAATATAATTTTACGCTATTTTGTGCTTTGCATACGATATTATTACCTGTTGGAACATCATGCTGTATCTCGACGTCAAAGAACTTATTAATTTCATCCGTTGCTGTACGCAATTGTTCGATATTTCTATTACAACATGTAGTTGATTCTGCAATTAAATTGTCCAATTTACAAGATATATCTTCGGAAGTATTAGAAGCTTTAACTTCATCGTATTGCAGATCGCCTACATGATTTTTATTCGCATCTAAAACTATTTTATTTGCATTCTGAAAATATAAAATGTTAATTTTTCATCAATAGGGTACAAATTTTTTTTTAAGTTTACCTCTAATAAGAAAAGTGCTTCGTTTTTATCTTCGTTTATTTTTTGTTGTATTTCCTCAGTATTGTGTTCAATAAGGTTCTTATAGTGCTTCAGTACATTACAGCTTGTATTTATGTTTGATTTCAATTCATTTACCAGACTCTTTCCTTGCTCTTTAGTACTGTTCGCTAATTCCTCGTTCTATCATGAAATATAGTGTAAAATATTATAAACGGCGTAATCAATTCGTCATAGTTGAAATTGCACCTTTACCTTTTCTGCTTCGATAACAGCATCAGTTCTAATCTCATCCAAATAATCTTGTATCTCTTCTCTGAAACTGTTTCTCATTTTCACGCTGGTATTGCAAGTGTTCGTTGTACGTTCGTAAACTTTGTTGCAAATTTCGCCGATATAGTCACATTTACCACCTACAAGGGCGCGATATTCTTCTTGGCTTTTATTTAGAAGATTGAACTGGGTCGATACGTCTTCCATCATCTAAAACACAATACGCCCCGAATATCTTTAAAACTGCACCAATGAAAACGTTAAATTTAAGCGCGACAATTTCTTGTACCTTTGCAAACGAACGCTGCGTTTCTGTCAATTCTTGCATTCTACAAACATCTTCCGCGTTTCTTTCAATGTCCTTTATACTTTTAGTTATACGCCCGCAAGCTTCCAATTCACGCTGACACACAGCATCTATCATTTCATTTAACTTGGTCGAGATTTCGTTTATTTTTGACAATAAGTTATTTTTTAAAAGCTGCAACTTCTCAGCGATTTCGTTTTCAATTATGCCGTTCAGATCTTGCGTGGATTTCACGACTACGGAATTTAAGAAGTCATTCTCATGTTCTACCGCATCAACTGTACCTTTCATTTCGCATTTTATCCAATTCTGATCATTCGAGGACTGAAATATTAAAGGCATATGTTGAGAATAAAAATATTGTTTTAGTAAGATGTATTAAATACATACGAGCTCATTTATATTTGTTACTAAATTATTGGTCATTGTTGAATATCGATCGGTAAGATTTGTTGAACATTGCTGTGCCCCTGTATTAATATTTTTGTATCTCGTAACAGTTTCCGTGCCTAATAAATACGGTAAATCGATGTAAAAATGTGAATCAATCTTCGCAAGAAATCGTATCTTACGTTAGAATTTCTATTACCTATACCAGTTTTCATGTATGTACAAAACTGTTCTACGTTTTCCCCGTATTCACAAATATCTCTTTCAGCGTTTTGCATGGATTCGCAAATATTGTTTCTGAACTGTTCGCCAAGAATTTCAAACGTCTCTTCTGCCTTGCTAAAAAAGAACGAATCGTAGGAGGGGGTGGAATTTATTTTCTCTAAATGAATCCAATAGAAAATCGAGATATATCGATTATAGTCGATGTCGATCTCCTCACAGTTCACTTACGTTTTGCGTTCAATTTTATCGTGCAATTTCTGAGAATCTGCAGTTGCTGTATCTGCAACATTCAACAGAGATTGACCTTGAGACAGTAAAGCTTGTTCTGTACTAACATGTTTCTCTAGTAAATATTTGTTTTCGTCCCGTTCTTGTGCGACTACTTTTAACTGCTGATGCGTGGATTCCAGAGCATTTGTAGTACCGTCCAACTTTACTTTTACTTCGTGCAACTCTTCCATTCGAGTAAGAATTTCTACCTTAAGGTCGTTATATATTTTCTGAAAAAAGATAACACGAAAAGTGATAATACAGTAACATCGATGAACAGCTAATAATGAAATCTACCTCCTTGTCTTCCATCACTTTTTCCAGTGCTTTTATTTGATTATTTTTCTCTTCTATCTCTTTGGTCTGCTGGGAAAGTAACGTCTGCATTTCATTGTAATTTTCGTTCGGAACATAAATGCCGGTTTTATCGCGCGTCGCTAATAAATCTCGTCGTAATCTTTCGATTTCTGCTGTATATTGATTGATAAATTCTTTCTTTGAAAGCTTTTGATTTACTTCAGGACGATTTGTAATATTTTTTGCGCGGTGTGCATAATCTAACGTCGACAGAGTTTCTTCGAGATTGATACTAGCGGGGGATACGGTTGCAATAATCGATGTTTTTGTGCGACCACCCAATGACTCTTGTAATAATCTGGTGAGTTTGGACTCTCTGCGTGTCACAAGAGATATAGAACGGTAATAGATTAGAATACTCTTTCCGCGGAGTAAGACAAGAATATTTATTTTTATTACCTATAAGGTACATGAGGTGCACCTTCAACAAGAGCTGTTATGACTCTTCCAAGAGTTAATAAAGATTGATTAACGCAACCAGCTTCCCTTGCTCTCTTATCAATGGAACCAGACCTTCCAATATTCTCACTGCCTGCAAGATCCACCAAATTTAGTTTTCCCGTTTTTAAAACCTCTTCCCCGTCAATGGTATTCTCTTTCATGTGTACAGTAATGGAAAATACTGTATGAGATCGGCTAAAATCATTTCCATAAACATTATGCTAGTAATAATAACAGTATGTTTAGATATTAGAAACATACAGTAAATGCATGAAAATTGCATTAAATCAATGAATAATTAAAATAACAACCTAGAGTTAGCATTCATCAATGTTGCAGCAGTTTGCCTCCTCAGTAATCCCATTTCGAGAAATTTATGAACTTCGCTTTTACTATTTATTGTCACTTCTTCCAATCCGTGAATAATTACTGCACCTTTTCTCGATGTATCTTCATATAATCTATTCAAGACATTCTTATTCAAATATATTTTATATAAATTTATTAAATAAAATAGTAAATCTCGTAATATACATCGTTTGTATGTTTTACACTATATACCTTATTTTAGATCCATCGTCATTGGCTGACAGAAGATCAAATAATTCTTCGTTATAAAGTTCTAAAAAGCTAACTCTGATTGTATGTTCCGGCGCTTGTAGTAATTGTAACTCGTCGAATATATGACTCAACGAACGTGGAATCATACCAGCAGTCGAATCCTGCACATTACAATGTTCCATACAAATTTTAAATCTTGTTCCCTCGACTTTACAATTGACACACCCGATAAATTAAGACCATTTTTTTATACAAACGAGAATCTTACGCTTTTCCAATGCAAAGTAGGATTTGTATTTATTCCTTCCATTGTGAAAGTTTTTCCTGTACCGGTTTGCCCATATGCGAATACCGTACAATTATAGCCAGCCAAAACTTGTTCCAATAATGGGCTAACAACAGCCTTATACACATCCACCTATCAATTAAAATTAAGAAAAAATATATAGGAGTACTTGCTTGCTTAATATACATAGTATTTACTCGCTAAAAAGGTAATACCTGCTTTGAAGAAGGTCCGAATACATTGTCAAATTTGAATTTCTTTGAATACTTTTCTTTCGGACGTTCATGTATTATTATCTCCTTATCATTGGGTACTTCTACTATAGTTGTAGATTTATTAGTTTGTTCAAGACTACTTATTGGTCTGTTAGATAGGAAAAGATCAACAATGATTTAAGGGCGGCAAATTATTAATAACAGTGGTCGCCTGCTTTTCATACAGAAGAAAAGTTCATTGTATCTATTAAATCTTTATTTATATGTAAATTAATATGTACGTATGTCATATACAAATGTACGTAACAAAATTTATAATAAATCACTTTGTGCGTTGTTAACAGTATGACAGACGAAACAAACTGGTTTAGAAAATGAAATTAATTGTTATTTACTCACCTAATACGAACAAATACTTGTATGTGTTGAGATTTACTCTTTTTCCCAGTTCGTGTAACGTTCATGTTTAACTTTATGATATTCCGACGATAAAACCTATAAATCTATTTATCGGAAACGTCTGTGTTTCTGTCAGTTAAAAACTGCTACAAAATCATCCGTTGGAATTTGAATAAAGAAAACTTTGAAATGTAGTTCTGGGAATAGCCAATAGATGCCTCATGTACGCGCAGTTTGCAATGAACGTAAATCAAGCTAGTTTGCATGAAATCATTTTGGTAACGAAAAAGCTTGTTCAGTAATTGGTAAACTGATTCTGTATTACTACAGTGACCAGTTTACATGATTTTCTGACGTTACGTTTAAAACACACCGTGTCAGTCAATGCGCATTCCGACCGCGCAGAATTCTTGTCCCGCGCAAAATTAGCCAATAGAAGACAATAAAAGGCGCGAAAATCCATGTCGATTGTGGCATCTACTACCTTTACTTTCCAACTGAAACGTGCTGATTTAACCTACTTTGGATTTGTTCGAACCAGCTACAAGTTAAAGCAGGGAAATATTAATTATACATCGTTATATCGATAATATCTGAGTCACGAATGAGGTACAGCAGTGGTTCTTAATCTGTGATCTACAGATCTCAAGAGGGCACATAGAAATGTTAGCTATTGGACTAAAACAAATCTTTTATCATTATGCTTTGTAGCTTTTTGAAGTGTAGAAGTTGACGCCTTTGGAAAGTTTTATAGGTCGCGCGTGAAAATCGGAAGTTTCTCAAGAAGTGACGGATATGAATCTGATATAGAGGTTTGCCATCTACGAACATTAACTGGGCAAATACAGAAGGTAAGATAACTAAATTTGTACTTATAGATCCTATGCTATAGGGCCTACAGTTCCCCAAATTTGATATGGGATCTAAAGCCAATCATGGTAAGATTAGGGTGTAGTCAGAATTTTGTTTAGTAAAGGACAAAAATGCTAGACTAATAATTAAATTACTAATTCCTTATTCTTTAATACAATATCAAATAATTAAACAATGATCGACATGATATCAAATGCTTACGATTCTCGTTTTCTTTTATATTACAATTACATCAAACTTTCATTTATTAGAATAAATTTACTTTCAAAGAAAGTTTAATTCAAAATTGATTTATTTACAAATAACTAGGGAAGTATCCCGTTTGCTCCACTCTAGCTACGCCATTGTTATTTATGTCCAGGCAATTTGTCGAGAGAAATACTTTCGTCCTTATTCTCTTACAATTTATGGCAGTAAAATGTGTCTGTTCGAATGTACCGTAATCGCTTTATCGTTGCACCAGGTCGTAATAATCTTTTACTACGCGCGCGTGTAACTTAACAAAATCGGACTGTCTCGTGGACCACAGGGTCAACCGTGCGATCATTCGATCGATTTCGTCCTCGTCTCGTTCCAGAGTCGCCGTTTTGTCGCGACAGTCTTCCGAATCGAAGTCACTTGGATCGCGCTCGGCTCTCTCGCAGATGAACAGCCATTTCTGAACTTGCTTGTCAGAAATCGCCTCGTTCAAAATCGTTCTCATCGCGTCCTTGATCGCGGTAATATCCGCTTTCTCGTAACTTTCTTTGCCTTGTCCTTCCCCAGCTTCTTCCTCCACCGTTGTACCGAATCCCACTAATCTTTTCCACGAATTGTAGATCTCGACCTGCGTGACGTCCGTCCAGGCCTCGCTCACCAAGTCGATGCAGTCCTTAACGTCGTAATCCGTATAAAATTCCGCCACGCCGCCCGGAAAATCCAAGATCCGACTCAGCACGCGACGACGGAAGGACACCTTCACGTTTTTTATTATCCCCTGTTGCATCGGGTGTAGATTCGACGACGTGTCCAGCGGAAGGTATATGATTTCGAAGTTGTTCTCTTCCGTGTCTCTGCCACGCGGCAAAGTGTGAGCTTTGCACTTGTCCACCAAGAGCAACACCTTACCTTGAATACCATTTTCCATCTGATATTTTCTAACCGCCGGTTTGAAGTACTCTTCCAGCCAATCGGCGAACAGGCTCTGGTCTATCCAAGCATTCTTCCGCGCCTTGAAGATTACAGGCAAACGATCCCTGCAATGCTTCAACGCTTCTGGTGTCTCGTACCTATGGATGAAGAGCGGCGGCAGCTTGTGCGTTCCAATCGCGTTTGCGCACAAGGCCACGGTGACTCGATTCTTTTTGATCCTCTTTCCGTATACTCTCCTCGCCGTGGCGTACATCACAGTTTTTCGTGGAAGTGCCTTCCACACCAGGCCCGTTTCGTCCATGCTGTATACGTTCTGCAGCTCTATGCTTTTGTCCTCGAGACGCTGCAGGAAGGAGTGGGTAAACTTTTTCGTCAATTTCGTGTCGAGTTTTGCGTCGCCGTTGTAATCGCGGAACGTGAAACCATAACGGTGCTTGAACCGACATAGCCAGCCGTAGGAGGCTTGGAACGTCGATGGGCCGCCAAATTCCTTGTGCAGTTCCATCGCCTTCTCTTGGATCATAGTACTGGAGACGCCATCGTCGACTTCTTTGTGCTCCTGGTACCATTTATAGAGTCGAGTTTCTAATTCGTCCAGGAGGGACTTCCGGAATCTCTTTTTACCTTTGTCCACCGGTTTCTGCGACCGTCTTCGTATCTGATCCTCCTGGTTCTTGATACGTCGTATGGATACAACGCTGTTGCCGTAATCCTTGGCCAATTGTCTCATCGAAACACCATCCTCCAATTGCCGCAAGACGTCCAGTCGCTGCTGCAGCGACAGGCAAACTCGCGTCCTTTTCTGTCCAGGCAACATCGCTTCAGCTACACGTGATTTTGTAGTTAATGAAAAATCGTAGCTTTGCGTGACAAAGTAGTACGAGTACTTTCAATACTAAATACACTTTAGAGTCCGGTACACGGATCCTCCGCGAATCAATACAGTGAACGTTGGATATATGCCCGAACTGATCTACAGCATAAATGCCCGATGCTCATCCCCACCACTGAGGGGAGATTCCCCTTGACACGCCGCAATGCTCGACCGCCAAGGAGGACCTCCTTCTCTTTTACTCGCTGTCCTTTTCTACGTTCGAATTAGAATCGATCCATCTGCTCCATAAACGCCTGGCTTGGGCTTCCAATTTTTCGGGCATACATCCAACCTTTGCTGCACGCGTTTCTTGCTAATCGTAAGAAAGCATCGAACGTAATCCAAGGGCCATGCACTCGTTTTACCAATCGGCCAGTAGAATTCCAGAACCACCCGGATATCTGATGGCGGATGTGTCCCCCCGCCGCTTGCTCCATTTAGTCTGCGCAGGCGGCACTTTTGTCCATGCACGGTCACCTACCGACAGGCGAGAAAGTAAACGTACCCGTTCGACCGAGGTATTCAGTGACGAAAATTTCAGTTTTTGTCGCTACAATCGTCCCTATGCACGTAAGTCCAAGGAAAGCACTACGAAGAACCCGTTATAAATACAGAGCACCGTAATTCCTCGTTTTACGATCTAATTTTTGCACTGGCTGTAAGACTCTGAATCCCCCCTCCCCCCTCCCCCTCTTCCTGTGTTACATTTATCAGCTCGAGCAACCGGTATCTTATTTGGATTATTGTTTATTATACTATTGTGTTCAGTTAAAAAGAGCGTATCTCAAGTGACTGGTTCTTTAGATTTTACATTTAAATTTTCTTTTAATTATTTGTAATGATTAAAGTAAGTTTATTTTGTTATAAAATAGAAAGGTATTTCCAGACGAGACTGAATTTCTTTCTGCTATTTTTTTTTTTAATAATATTCTATCACAAATAGTTTTAGGTACAACGCATTAAATTAGAAAAATTTCAGGGGTCTAACATTAACAGGATTCCTAAAATGGGTCTTTAAAATTGGAATTGAGGTCCTGTTTGGACTCATTTTCATTAAAATTAATTGATGTATGAACTATATAAAATAGAGCATTAAATTGTGCATACAGCAAGCGAATAACAATTCGTTTGACTTGAGCTAGTATTTATTCAGGCGATATCACCGAGCTGCCGAGTCGCCTTTATATTTTGCTGAATATCAGCAGTAGACGGTCGAAGAAAAGGACAACGAGTGAGAGGGAATGAGAGACAAACCTCGTCGGTATCTAACGTAATTCATTGTTACTTATTTCATCTTATGTCGTCTGTCATGCTTGCCTGGCTTCGAGGGGGATCTTACTCCCCCCATTCCCAGTTAGTGGGAATAGCGATAACCTTACAACGAATGGAATCTAGCTACCTAACAACGGAGACGTATTGTACATATAGTGTTTGGCACGCCCACACGCTTTCTGCATAGTTTTTAGGCTTCAACCACGAGGAATAAGATACGTAGACGGATTAAATTTCCAGTTACCGAACGTACAGTGCTCGACAAAAGTATGGGTGCAGCATGCACTCACAATCAGTCAAACGAACTTCCGTACATTGACTTTTTTCTAACTTCTTGTGAAATTCTATTATAGACTTTATATAATGATATTTCTCTGATTATTAATAGACCAGAGAAAGGCTTAAATTAGAATTAATAAAAAGAAAAAAGAAAGTATATTGTATTTTAGACAAATTTCTACAGTTGTGGAGAATCGGTTCCAAGAGACCTCTAGAGTGCACCAAAAAAATTACTGACTTTAATGTTACTAGACGTATTTAGTGACTTTACATAATTTTTCCTTAAAGTTGTGTGATATCAATTTCAATTAAATGTCTATTAAATTTCTATTAAATGAACAATAAATAAGTTATATTTTGTAATTTGCAATAATTATTAAATGGAAGCACTGCCATTGGTTTTCTGCAATACTGACCAAAGAGATACGATGGGCCAATGAGATTCTGTCGTGCTCATGTGGTTTCGTTTATTCGTGTACTCGAAAAATGTATATTTACGATTGAATTGCAATAGTCTACGTTTTATCTATATTAAGAATCCGAAAAATATTCTATGTTTAATTCATCTTATCAATCAGCTTCAGTAATTATTGTATTTGTCGTAACAACTGAATACAATATTTCAGTGCCAGTTTGGTTCCCGCGTAAAACGAAATACACACTCCGTCACGTTTGAGATCGATTCAGATTTCTATCGTTCGAATTAAGAAATTGTCGCTAGATTTGACACCGAAATAATAAGAGGACTCGCAAACCTAGAGATGTGCAACACATTCTTTCATAGAGTTTTGTATCTTTGCTGTGCCACTGCCGCTATACATATCGATAAAAACAACGTACGTATCGTTCTTCCACGAGAAGAAGGCACAGTGTGTTTACATCCCCACTCTTGCTGCAGTCCGCTGATTGGCTGTCACCGATCTTCGTCACCGTTTTCGACCAATACCTGCGAGTCAGCGGACTGCAACAGGAATGGGGATGTAAACACGCTGTGCTTTCTTCTCGTGGAAGAATAACTATTTCTTAAATTGATAAAATAGTAACAATGAATACGATGGTACTATTTTACGTATTCTGAACGAAAAAATCCGCTACTAAAGTAACCAAATGAGTCACAGTTAAGGTCTTGAAATATTTATTAGACGATAAAATTAAATGTCGCTTGTTGCATTTTTATTTTGCAGTAGTCGTACGCTTCTAGACTGAATGTTTTCGATTATCAAACACTATGCGTATCCGATTAATTCAGGTCTTGAAAAGGTTTCGAAAACAGTTGTTTTAAACCGTGATATAAGAGTTTTCTAGCCCTAGTATTTACATGCACGTGAAATAGGGATCTCTGTTAAAAATAGCTGCAGCGAGGTCGTGTTTAGACTCATTTTTATCGGGAATATCTTACTACTTCATTGATAATAATCTCATACTGATGTAACGAAAAATACAGCAAATTTTATATCGCGATGGTGGTCGACACATCGATAGACGGGCGGTATCTCTTTGATGTCTCGACCACTCGCTCGCTGTTGCTTTTTTCTCGCTCATTCTCAGTGCATCCCATTCTCTTTCTTCGTCGAACGGTTTACGCATGGCTGGGTCTCGTCTCGAAATAGAATTCGTTGTCGGACCCTACATTGGAGGTATCTGGCGTACCCGATTCTTCGCCTCGAAGCGAAGGACTACTGTAATAATAATTCTACTGCATCGTAAAACTAACATTCGAGAATCGTATATAGCTCGTTGATATTTTAAACTCGGTAATTTTAATAGAATCGCACTCTTCGCGTAACGAAACGTTCGAAAAAATCTCATTTCGTTTTAATCGTAAAAATGTTAATAACGACCTAATAATTATTATTCTGCAAAAATAGCCGTCGATTTATTATGATATGTACATATATGAATGTATACAAAATTTTTGACCGATCAGTTATTCCAACTATTAAAGGAAATTTCCATAGCTCAATCGGAGGTATTAGCATGACGGATGTTCAGCTTTATAGCGTATTCATAGTCGGTGAAGTATTTAATGAAAAGTTTCCTCACGATTAGATCGGGGATTTCTTTCTGTGAGGAGCTGATAAAGCATCCGCTTATGGCGATATTCCCATAACGCCGGATGTTATAGAATTATTAGAATCGTCAAAAACAAGTGAACCCTGGGAAAAATTTTAATGGGAGATTCTAGAGACCAAAATAAGACGAAAATCAAGAATATCAATTTGTTAATGGAGGCTTCGTTAAAAAGTTATTAACGTTTAAAGTTCCGCCCGTATTGAATTTTTTTCTCAAAAATGTGCAGGATTTCGGGGTTATGTCTGTTCACCAAAAATGATTGCAATTGACCCCCGCAACCGAAAATAATTTTTCCAGAACAATTTGAGATTTTTTAATTTCAGTGAAAAATTACACACCTTCTCGAATTTTTTTCTAGAAAGTGGGTAAGATTTCGGGGGTACGCCTATTGACCAAAAATTATTGCAATTGACCCCTGCAGTCAAAAATATTTTTTTTGGAACGATTTGAAATTTTTGAATTTAAAATTGATATTCTTGATTGTCGTCTTATTTTGGTCTCTAGAATCTCCCATTAAAATTTTTCCCATAGGTGGCCGAACACCCTGTATAGATAGAACCTGTTTATTACAGAATAAAATTATTTTTAAATAAAGGAACATAGTCGTTTTTACCTAGAAGTAAGATATAAAAATAAAAAGAAACATAAAATAGTTCATTTTTTCAATTTTGTTTGTAAGAACAGTATCTAATATAAAAGAAAATGAAAAAGAAATAATAACAAAATAAATCATTGTTGTCGATAAATTCGAAGAATTCTTTACTGCGTATATACAGGGGTTTAACGTCGCACGTTGGACCTATTTTAGCGATCAAATAATGTAAAATCATACATAAAGTTTATGTAAACATATTTGATCTCATTTTCGAGTTATACTCATTAATAATATACAGTTGTTCACTTTTACAGGAAATACTCGAAATTTTTCGGCCAAATACAAATCTGCGGATGTTGTGTCAAAGAGTTCATCCGCATAACAAATATGCCAGGTACTTATTATCTCGGATCTCTTAAAAATCTCACGATAGTCAAGTAAATTTTAACAACAGTAAACAAATATTTCTTTGAACGACGACATTGGTACTTAATAGATTAGGTACTGATTGTTCAAATTTAACACTAAAAGTTTTAATTACAAAATTCACGCCCACGACACGATTGTGCAAATGTATTTCGTTTGCTCTCGTTCTCTCATAGTTTCTATTGATAAAGTGTGTTCGTTCTAATGCATCGCGATAATTTTATCGTTGCACCAGATCGTAATAGTCTTTCACCAGACGCGCGTGCAACTTAACGAACTCGGATTGCCTTTCAGACCACAGGATCAGTTTCGAAATCGTTCGATCGATTTCGTCCTCGTCTCTATGGAGGATCGTTTTTTTATCGGGGCAGTCTTCTTCCTCGAGTTCGGAGTCGTCCGGATCGCGTTCGGCTTTCTCGCAGATCGACAGCCATTTCTCGACTTCCTTGTCGGAAACCGCCTCGTTCACGATCGTTTTTATTATATTCTTCATCACGATAATATCCGAATCGTCGGAGGGCTGTTCGCTGTCCTGCACTTCCACCGGTTCCTCTCCTATAATCGCAGTAAATCCCGCTAATTTTTTCCACGAATTGTAGATGTCGATCTGCGTCACGTCTCTCCAGGCTTCGCCGACCAGGTCTATGCAGTCCTTCACGTCGTAATCCGCGTAGAATTCCGCCACTCCGCCTGGAAAGTCCAAGATCCGACTCAGTATGCGACGACGAAAGGACAACTTCATGCTTTTTATTATTCCCTGTCTCATTGGATGCAGATTCGACGACGTGTCTGTCGGGAGATACTCAACGCTGACGTTATCGTCGTCCAATTGCGTTTGCGGTGGCAACGTGTGGGCTCTACATTGGTCTATCAGCAGCAACACCTTTCCACGAGTATCAGTTTCCAGTTGGTGTTTTCTGACTGCTGGTTTGAAGTGCTTCTCCAGCCAATCGACGAACAGGTTCCGGTCCACCCTAGCATTTTTCTGTGCCTTGAAAATTACAGGCAAACGATCCCTACAATGCCTAAGGGGTTTCGGTGTCTCGCACCTGTGGATGAAGAGCGGTGGTAGCTTGTGGGTTCCAATCGCATTTGCGCACAGCCCCACGGTGACTAGATTCTTTTTAATTCTTTTCCCGTAGACTCTCCTCGCCAGAGGATGCATCAGTGTCTTTCGAGGAAGAGCTTTCCACGCCAGGCCCGTTTCGTCCATGCTGTAGACGTTCTGCAGCTCTATGCCTTCCTCCTTCAGACGCTGCAGAAAGCAGTGGGTTATATTCTGCGCGATCCTCGAGTCAACGTTTGCGTTCTCGGTGCTGTAATCGCGGAAGCTGATGCTTCGACGTTGTTTGAACCGCCATACCCAGCCTTGCGAGGCATGGAACGTCGGTGGACCGCCAAACTCCTTGTTCAGTTCCACCGCCTTCTCCTGAAGCATAATGTTCGTGACACCATCGTCGATCGCTTTCTGCTCTTGGTACCACTCGAACAACCGATCTTCCAACTCTTTCAACGGCGGTTTACGAAACCTCTTCTTATCTTTGTCCCTCGGGGTCTGCAACCGACTGTGTATCTGGAGTTCCTGTTTCTTGATGCGCCGTATGGTCGAATCGCTGATCTTGTACTCTGTGGCCAACTGAGTCATCGAAACGCCATCGTTCAATTGTCGCAGAATGTCAAGCCGCTGCTGTAGCGACAGGCAAACGCGCGATTTTTTCCGACCAGCCAACATCGTGCAACGACGCGCGCATTTCCACGGCCACGTGACCTCGAAAGTTGTTCACAGCACCGGCAACCGATAATCAAGAATCGTAGCTTCTCAGAGATTCCGAACCCTTTTGCTATTGCGTACACCTTACAGTTTAGCACACGAATCTTCCGCGAATCCGTACACACCGAATCGTCGTAAGAAAACATCGAACGTCGTGGTTTCCGGACGACCAGAGCGCTCCGTGCACGTTTCAACAACCTGCCGGTAAGGAATCGGCCAGTAGAATTCCAGTACTACCCGGATATCTGACGGCGAAAGCATCCCCACCGCTTGTTGTGTTCAATCCGCGCAGGCTATCCTTTGCCCATGCGCGATCGGCTGCCAACTGATGAGAAACAGAACGGACACGCTTCAATGATTCCGTCCAACGACGTGAAAATAACAATTTTAACATTTCGATCGTTCGTTAGCAGGCAAATCCAAAGTAAAACGGGACGAAGAGTTCGTCGTAAACGCGCGGCGCAGTAATTCCTCGTTTCACGATTGAATTTTTGCGCTGCGTTCAGGAGCCGGAATCCCCCTCCCTCGCCGTGGATTATGTTTTATCGGCTCGAGCGGCCTGCAGCTGTGGGAATAAGAACCGCCTGGCCGAACTTCGAAGGAATGCTGCGCGCGCATCTGTGTCCAACGCAAACCGAAAACATTTCTATTTCTCAGCGCATCTTCAATGTAGTGTTATCGATAGGTTGGCGAGGTTTTCCCGCTGAAAATAAACCCGAACACAACTATATTCAGCCTATTCTTTCGGTTACGTGCTTCAAAATATTTCAGAAGTGATTCTTTGATCATTAAAGAAGGTTAATATTTTACTTATTCTTGATAGCTATGAAATAGTTATTTGTCAAGTAGTCCTTGTAATTTAAATTATTTTCTACGTCAGTATTTTTGATTATTTTGTGAAATATGTACAAAATATTATTTCACGGTCGTTCATATACTTAAGAGCGTTTGTTATCGCTTTGAAGTTTGGGCTACAAGGGATGAGACACGCGGGTCGAATTTCGAACTATCGAATGTACAGTATTGGACGAAAGTTTTAGCGTAGCATAGACTTTAGGATACGAGAATATAGACATACAGAATAATCCGAATAGAGATGCATTATCTACTAAAAATTATTTGTTTGTTTACCTGAAGAGGTGTCCATAGAGAGCCGAAACATTGTACAACATACACTTCGAATGAATAGAAAGTACCCAAGATTTTTTTATTCTAATCTCGAGGATAGAAGATTGCTCGAATATCAAATAAACTTGGATGTTATCCGGTTATTAACTGCCTCCATTAATTTTCAAACGAATCCTAGTGACCCAATTTTGAATCACGATTAAAGTCTAACAAAAAAGAAATTATATTTAATTCGAATAATTTTGGATGCAAAAGAAAATAATTTATTATTTGCTAGCGAATAGTTGTCTTGTATTGGTTATTCAAAATCAAATTTACTCGGCCATGGTAGAAAGTGGTAGCGATGGTTAAAGAGAAAATGCAACGCAAATACACTAGTCCTTCGCTTCAAGACTGGAGTTCCTCCCCGGCATCAAGGCGCAGAATCATCCCCACTATTATCTTTTTTCTTCGGCACGAGAGATATCGACTCGACTCGAACGGCTGCCCAGATCGTTCTTTGACATGCGCCTCATTGAATTTCAACCCCCAATGCAGTGTTTCTCAAACTTCACCTTTCCGTAGTCTCCCACAATAACGAAAAGGTTTTGGGCAGACCTACTGCAATAGAATTAAATTCTCATCTTTTTAATATAATTTAAACCCGCCTTTAAAAAAAATAAATGTATATTGCAAATTTTTCAATGAAAATAAATCCAAATAGGACTATTCGAATAATTATTATTTCCTCATCGAACGGTTCGCCAATGATTGGGGTCTGCCATCGATTGAGAATACGTTTTTAACACTCAACGCAGTTGTTGGATCCGATTTTTTGCCTTGAAGCGAGACACTACATACTGTATTGGAGTAGACAGGGGGATTTGAATGGGTGTGAAGGATGGATGAAGCGAGGAGGTGGAGGCAAGAGTGGAAGAACGAACGAGAGGGGGGAATAAGGCTCGCATGCGCGTCGATGTAGCACGAGGCATTGCTGTGTGTGAAACTATGGAACTACAACCGATCTCATTCGACTATTCCAGAGAATTCGATCACAGTATGCAATAGCCACAAATTCACACAAGCATATACAGATCTATGGGCACACTCGCAATTAACCAAACTCCATGTGGTGGACTGAGAATCACAGTAGTGTAAATCCATCTTACACTCTTGTTCTAAATTGGTTGCAAATAAAGTGTGTCCATGATTAAACAGATAAACCAAATACAATCCAATACAAAAGTATAGTCTGGGTGCAGGCATTCCGTTTACCGACCAAACATTTAAAGACACTTATTTAAAGAAAACTCCACAATGGACTACATGAAATAAATCTATTTAATCCTAAGATTTGGAACGCAAAAGTAAAAGTTACGCCTGCAGAGTATTTTTTTACAGAACTGAACTCGATATTACTTGATAAAGGAAGATAATGGTTATAACGGGCCGGAAGCGAAATAATTATAATACGTTGAGACTTAGCACTTCAGTATCATTCGATATACAAAATTTTACTTTCTGTAGTTTTCATGTTATTTTTCTAAAAGTGGTACCAATGCATTCTTTAGATTATTCTAATTAAAATGGGACCAAACGCGACTCTAAATGAGATTTTTAAAGTGTCTCACTGCCTTTCTCTTCCCTGTTGGGTCAGATTTCGTTGAATTCGAGAAGCTGAGTGGAAGGGATTGGAGGGGATGAATCTTGGAAAGTTAACCGTGCATTACTATAGTTCTAAAAATCACCGTTCTTAAACGCAGAAGTCGCACAACCCACTGATTTGAAAATCACTAGAATATACAGGGTGTTTGGCCAATCCTGGGAAAAATTTTAATGGGAGATTCTAGAGGCCAAAATAAGACGAAAATCAAGAATACCAATTTGTTGATGGAGGCTTCGTTAAAAAGTTATTAACGTTTAAAGTTCCGCCCGTATTGAATTTTTTTCTAGAAAGTGGGTAGGATTTCGGGGGTATGTGTAATGACCAAATATGATTGTAAATGACCTCTATAACTAACTATAATTTTTCTAGAACAATTTGAAATTTTTTAATTTTGTTGAAATATTTCACATCTTGTCGAATTTTTTTCTCGAAAATGCGCAGGATTTCGGGGGTATGTCTATTCACCAAAAATGATTGTAATTGGCCCCAGCAATAGAAAATAATTTTTCCAGAACGATTTAAAATTTCTTTTTTTCCGTCGAAAAATTTCACACCTTCTCGAATTTTTTTCTCAAAAATGCGCAAGATTTCGGGGGTATATCTGTTCACCAAAAATGATTGTAATCCACCCCCACAACCGAAAATAATTTTTCCAGAACGATTTGAAATTTTTTAATTTAATTGTTAATAACTTTTCAACGAAGCCTCAAACGAAAAATTGATATTCTTGATTTTCGTCTTATTTTGGCCTCTACAATCTCCCATTAAAATTTTTCCCAGGGGTGGCTGAATACCCTGTATAATTACGTGACCGATGTTACCATGGTCGGTACTGCAGCTTATGCGACAACTCTCGTACGATGGAACGTCTATTCTACGCCTCGTCCATGGTATAAATAAGGAATATAACAAGAGAGTGAGAAGCAAGTTAGGTGTAAGTGATACAAGTAAAGATGTGAATTGGTAACAGAAAGAAGTAATATAAAATACTAACTTGTCGTGTATGGTACAATTCAAGATGTTCTATCCATCCTCCGAGTCGAAGATAGTATCTTCAATATATAGGAATATATTCCATTTTCTGTACTTCGACCATCGAGTCGAGTACTCCTGTAAATAAAACCACGTGACTTGTGACAGAACCGAAACAACGAATGGCTGTGCCTGAATAAGTACATGTATAATAATTATAGCTCTGCGTTAAAAGAATCGATAAGAGAAAATGTATAATGCTTGCAAAGTAATACGAGCGAAAATATGTTTAAAAACTGTAATGTAAAATTTGTTTAGAAAGGAAACTTAAATAATTATTATCCATAATTTAATAATTGCTACAATAAAAATGTTAGGAAATGCGACAGGAAGATAGTAAAATTGTATATAACAGTATTTTGCAATGATTATAATAACAAATCACACCTTGTGGTCGGTAATGCTTGGATGACTATAAGTTAGAGAGCGCGAACCCTGTTTATGATTGTGATAACGCGAGTTCATATGCCTCGTTAACGGTAGCTCCCTCTGCTACTACTTTAGCTCAGTCTATGTCTACTTCCGCCCGAACGCGCCAATTTAATCTATTTCTGTTTCGGCCAAAATATTATCTACGCGAAAGGAAATAGAAACGTTATATAAAATTTGCATATACTTATTTTAATATTTAATTTACATAATATTCATGTATGGGCAAACGAAAATTCACACGTTATTCGACGAAGATCGTATCAGCACCAATTAAAATGCAACGTTTGGTTGGGCACGCACGACGAATTTTTAATTGGGCCTCATTTCTTTCCTCGACAGTTAACAGAAGTCTCTCAATATTTTTAACAAACCTCTCCCGATGTTGTTGGAAAAATACCAGTTTCCAGACTTCCTAAATCACCCAAATTAACTCCTTTAAATTTTTATTTCTGGGGCACTCTGAAATAGAAAGTTTACAATACACAAATTATGTACAAGCGGTAAAACGCGAAGAATGTTGTCCCCGTTTCATCGTTGCACCAGGTCGTAATAATCTTTTACTAAACGCGCGTGCAACTTAACAAAATCAGATTGCCCTTCGGACCACAGTATTAACTTTGCAATCGTCCGGTCGATTTCATCCTCGTCTCGATGCAGATCCGGCTTCTCGATCGGAAAGTCTTCCTCTTCCAATTCGAACTCGTCCGGATCACGCTCGACATTCTCGCAGATCGATAGCCACTTTTCAACTTGCTTGTCGGAAACAGTCTCGTTTATAATCGCTTTTAACGTATCTTTGATCGAGCTGATATCCGTCGGGTTATAAGGGTGCTCGTTGTTCTGTCCTTCCCTCGCCCCTTTCAACAACGTTGCATCGTACCCCACCAACTTTTTCCACGAATTGTAGATGTCGACCTGCGTGACGTCCGTCCAGGCCTCGCTAACCAAGTCTATGCAGTCTTTCACGTCGTAATCGGTATAGAATTCCGCCACACCGCCTGGAAAATCCAAAATCCGATTCAGTATACGTCGACGAAACGATACCTTCACGCTTTTCATTATTCCCTGCTGCATTGGATGCAGATACAACGACGTGTCGGTGGGAAGGTATACAACTTCGACGTTGTCGTTCTGCAATTGCAGTTGCGGCGACAACATATGAGCCCTGCACTTGTCCACCAGCAACAGCACCTTTCCGTAAATACCAGCCTCGAGATGGTATTTTCTGACGGCCGGTTTGAAATGCTTCTCCAGCCAGTCGGTGAACACAGTCTGATCCAAGCAAGCATTTTTTTGGGCTTTGAAAACGACTGACAAACGGTCCTTGCAATGCTTCAACGCTTTAGGCGTCTCGCACCTGTGGATGAAAAGAGGCGGTAGCTTGTGCGTTCCAATGGCGTTTGCACACAGTCCCACGGTGACACGGTTTTGTTTAATCCTTTTCCCGTAGACTCTCCTTGCTGTAGCGTCGATCAGCGTTTTTCGAGGAAAAGCCTTCCACATCAGACCCGTTTCATCCATGCTGTAAACATTTTGCATCTCTACACCTTTCTCTTCCAGGCATTGTAAAAAGCATTGGATAAACTTCTCCGTCTCCCTCGTGTCAACGTTTACGTTCTCGCTGTTAAGTTCGCGGAAGCTGATGCCATGGCGATGTTTAAACCGCCATATCCAACCTTTGCTGGCCGTGAACGTCGACGGACCGCCTAACTCCTTGTTGAGTTCTATCGCCTTCTCTTTAAGTATAGCATCGGTGATGCAATCATCGAGTACACGTTGATCTTGGTACCACGCGTGTAGACTAGCGTCTAACTTCTCTAATTTCGGTTTCGAAAATTTCTTTCTATCTTTAATTCCTGGGGTCTGCGATTGTTTTCGTATCTGGTCTGCCTGGCTCCTGATGCGACGTATCGTTGCGTCGCTGATCTCGTACTCCTTGGCCAACTGAGTCATCGAAACACCATCTTCCAATTGCCTTAAGATGTCGAGCCGTTGCTTCAACGAGAGGTAAACCCGCGACTTGGTCTGTCCAGCCAACATCGTGTAACGAGGAGCACGCTTTCACGACACGCGGCCTCGAAAGTTGCTCGTAGCGCTGAGAACTGTTGCCAAGTTTCGTATACCTGCATCACATAGTTTTTTCAATAATTTTCCTAGCCATTAACGCCAGAGCGTATATCTAGTCAGTCAAAGGGTTAAATACATCCTACAGTCTAGTATACACACCGAACCTTTGCAGGTGAACATCAAATATAATCGAAGAAGCGAGTTTCAAGGTTTATAGATGGTCCGCGATCCGGACTCGTTCTTCCAACCAGCCGAGAATGGTTCGGCCAGTAGAATTTCAGCGCTACCCGGATATCTGATGATGGATGCATCCCCACTAATTGCTCTGTTTAGTCGGCTCAGACGATCCTTTGTCCATACGCGGTCACCTGCTAACAGAAATGATAACCGTACGTATTAGAGTGAATCACCACAATCTTACAATCCTTTGTAAGTATAGTAGAGGATCCAATCACTGGACATATAGTGACAACGAGCTGATTTTCGAATTTTTGTGGGGTGTATCTAAGGTGTATATGTATACTATATTTAACAAAAATGTTAAGGTGAAAGTAATAAGTAGAACCAATGACCAAAAATTTGGTTTTAAGTAATATTAGCATTTTATACGAACAACCGCGTTTCTCAGGAACAAATAAAATTTGTCTTCTATGCTTCTGAATAATAATTAAATAAAAAAATCAACAAATAAGAAGCTTTCGTGGGCCCCTTCTATGAGGGGGCCCAAAGATGGAACTTCATCAGTTTCATGGTAGATCCGCCCCTGGGTAAGACGCATACCACCACACAAAAATTAATAAATAAATTTAAAATCTCTCTCATAAATGTTAATGCTGTCTCTGCTAGTTATTAACAATTCTATGTTGTAATTAACTTCTTATAACACGAACGAAATAAAAAATAAATATTAAAATACTTCTAGTAATTTTTCCCCGGTCTAGAGAGATTAATTGTGTCGTAATTAAAATTTATCATTCAAACACCAAATTTTCCCGTCCAAAATACTCCGCAAATCACTGTTTTTATAATGGAAAAACAATTAAGCGTTAGTGCGACAATTTTACACTACGTTTTTGAAGATTCGTACCACTCTTTGTCGGCCGCAGGTAAACCGTGGTTTCCAGACTGTTGTTCTATTTATCTCGCTCACTTGCAATGTATCCTGTTCACTCTCGCCACTGAACAATTTGTATAAGACTCAGCCACAGCTTGTATAGAAAATGTCGATTCTTGGAATAAAAACTGTCTCAACTATTTAATTACCGGCAGACTTAATTTAACTACCATATAACCGAAATTTTCTGTACTTAATTTCCGTTTAAATAACACTAATATTACCACGGACAAGGTATAGAATAGACGATGCAGCTAATGCTATTTCGTGATACGCGAATCGGGAACTCGCTAGCGCCATAGGTAAGGTATAGAATAGATGTTGTATGCAATGCTTTTTTCCATCACAGGAAATGGGGGTTCTCAACCTATCATTTCCATGTTACTTCGAACGTTATCGGTTCACACTGGAATTCGAATTTAGCACTCTTAGTGTTTGGAATTAAGACTAATTGGAAGAATATAATTATTTCGGAAGCAATCAAAATCAAATCTCAGGAGCGGTAAATTCAATTCGGTGACTCGAACATTCAAAGAAACTGGACGTCAATATAAGTTGAATATATAAAATAAGTTGAATTTACGTTTCCCGCTATCTAGTAATAACAGGCCCCTTGAACATTTCTAGGGAGAATGCATGATGCTTTTGTTTTTGCACCATATTACACTTCGGAAGTAGTAAAACACGATGCGACGCGACGTTCGTGCTGACATTTATATTTAGCCTTGAAACGTGAAAAATGCGAATATCCAAGTGCATAAGTCGATGCAGTATATTAGATCCATATCACCGATAAACGGTTATTCCAAATAACTGTACTTTTGTGAACAGCGTGTCTGAAAATTCGATCTAGTATTCGTTTGTGTGATTCTGTGTTTAGATCGAAGTGCTATAGTAACTGTACAGTTTGTAATATATGCGTGTTTCATTTTTCTGTTCTTACAATTTTTGTGGATTTGGTGTGTAACGTTTCTTTAAAATTTGTTGGATATTGGTTGATACATGTTACGAAAAGCTGTGATACATGGTTTATTTACATAGTACAATGTAGGTAAAAATAAAAGTAGCAGAGATGTGAATGAAACCGGATGTATACATTTCGTAGGCATGCGTATTAACCGTATTGTGTCTTTTTTTCGCTTCCCGTTGACGTCATTTTTCTATACACTTATATAAAAAAAAAAAAGCGTTACACGAGTTCTTAAATCTTGTATTTAATTATTTTGAATACGGGAATATGATTATTTTGTATTATATTCGTTGAAATTACGAGTTTATAGTGAAATATATAACTTTTTGTATGTGGCGTCTGGTTTGTTAAACTCCGTCGCGAGATTCGCGAGTTTAACACATAAATATGCAAGTACAAGAAGCAGAAGGAGCTGACGGTAGGTAAACGTATATTTCATTTGTTATGAATATTTTATTCTTTGTCTTCGTGACGCTTAATGCCGAAGAGGGAAAATACTTTACTGGCAGTACGATTTTTTTTTAATACACTTAACCTCTACAAGCCAATCATATGGGATTGGTGTTATATATGGTGTTTGAATATTTATTTAAATTAAATATTCTTGCACAGGTTCACCATGGAACAATTCCAGCGGTTGCGACGAGGAACGTCGTCCAACTCAAAAGGAGGGTAAAAAATCAAATATACTACCTCTATGGGGAAACGAAAGGACTATGAATTTAAATCCACTGATTTTGACAAATATACAGTCGTCGCATTATTTTAAAGTGAACTTATACGAATTGAAAACATACCATGAGGTTATTGATGAAATTTATTATAAAGTATCTCATCTGGAACCATGGGAAAAGGGAAGCAGGAAAACAGCGGGTCAAACGGGCATGTGTGGAGGCGTGAGTATGTTTTCTAATACATTGTTACTTTTTATCTGTTAATTTATGTGTTGATTTAAAAGTGAGACAATCACAGAGCCATTATTGTACGCACAGAAAGACTCTTAAGTTTGTAGCACTTTAAAAGGACACAGGCAGTCTGCAAGACAGAAACTGCAGATAGAAATAGAGAAAGTGTAATTATTTAAAATAAATTGAACAGAGCAACACTTTCAAACGTAGACATTCACTAGTAATGTGCAATCAGGCATCAATAGAAACATATTGGCCATGCACCAGTCTGAATCAGGCACTGAGCAGACAGTTTCACTTAACACCATATGTATTTATTGCAGAGTAGCATGTTCTCGGTCAATATATTTTAATATAATATGACTACGAATAATTGACATAGGGGGGTGTAAATTTAGCGGTTCATGCAGGTTCGTGGTGTCGGTGCTGGTGGAATTGTATCAACGGCTTATTGCCTGCTGTACAAGCTCTTCACCTTGAGGTTAACACGGAAACAATTAAACGGTCTTATCAATCATCCTGACTCACCATACATTCGGGCATTAGGGTTTATGTATATTAGGTAAGAATTATGATAATTTCTTTTAAAAGATAGCTCCATTGAAACAATTGTATCCTAATTGATGATATTAATAGATACACACAACCACCAGCTGACTTATTTAGTTGGTATAGCGATTACTTAGAGGACGAGGAAGAGTTAGATGTAAAAGCTGGAGGAGGTCAAGTTATGAAAATGGGTGATATCCTCAAACAATTTCTTACTAAATTAGAGTGGTTTTCAACTCTATTTCCAAGAATACCAGTGCCTATACAAAAAGAACTTGAACATCGATTAGCAGAAAGGTTCCCTCAGCAGTCTATGAATGCTCGGAATGCAAAACCACCTATCACGTTAAATAATCATGGAAAATATAGTAACAGCGGTAACAGGAAAGATAATGGCAACATTGTCCCGCGAAATCAACCACGACATATCCCAGATAGCGAAGCTCAATGGGGCGAGGCTGAGAAAACAAGCCACTGGCGAGCCAGGTGCGTCTACGTGGTATGAGTACAATCACGTTACTAATTTATATAAGTTAATAATATTCATTGAACTTGTTAGGGAAATGGGGTGAAGATTAAAGACGTACCATCTCCAGGAAACTCTTGATCTCAGTGTATCATCGTTCAGTTTTCTTTAGTACACGTGTATGTTCTTACTTGATTCTTGTACAGTTATTTGCTTGCTTTACAAACTTAGTGCAATAAATCTATCTTTCTATACATGGTGAGGCATTTAAAGCGGACCACTTGAATAACTCGATCGCTTCCGACGATAGAAAACAAAGCACTTGACTAATCTTTTTCCCGTTTCAAGGGGGCATAATCTGTGATCAATAATTTTTTTATGGACGGAGATTTTTTTAATAGAATAATTATGCTGTTCTTTAATACATTGGCAAGATCGATATTCTGAACAACCATTTCCTATGCATATAACCCTCGTTTGATATTAGTTTGCGATTATCTCGAAGCGACTATCGATATCTGATCGCCGAAAACTGCAAACGACTATTATATAGAATCTGTACAAAATGACGGTCATCGGGACCTATATAGAAGCTGATACAAGAACCTTAATTAAATTGATGTAATTCGAAATTTACATTCTTCATAATAGCTTTCGAATTCTGATTTATATTCATCGTAAAAAGAAGGTATCCTATTTTCTATCTCTAAAAATAGACAAGTTATACAAATGGGTCGGTTTAAATGCCTCATCCTGTATGCAGGGTGATCCTAGCAATTGGGACAACGATTCGACTCTTTTTTAAACAAAAATACAAAAAAATGATATAGGATAAAATTTAATACCGCATTGGAGATTATTTTTTGATAATAGAATTTTCTTTTTTTACAACAACGCAAATACAATGTGCACTTGCACTTGTTTTTTTAGACGGTATTATGCGTTTTTTTACGCGGTGGAAGGAATCGTTTTATGTACAAAAAACGAAATTAGTACAATTGCACATTACATTAGCATTGTCGTGAAAGGAAAAGATTATATCATCAAAAGATAGTCCCGATTGCAGAATTGACAATTGTTCCTGTATCAGTTTGTTGTGTCTGCGCTTAGAAAAGGGCTACAGCTTATTCCAGATTCTAGAACCATTTTGCATATTTTAGACTCGCTCTTATCTATCTTGAACTGCATCGAGTTTATTGGATTTTTTGCACCAATAAAGTTACAGGTCAAAAATCATTTGTATTCTTGAAAAGTCATCTAAATACTCACGATAACTGTACACTGATCTCTAACTTTATCCATTGGATATCAAGAAATGAGTAATTCTCTTGTATAGTTACGATTATCAAGAACCACTCGAATATAAAACGTCCATGTATTTATAGCAGATAATTTCTTGGTATCTTGCATTAAAAATAAATCCATCGTGTCTATGCATCTTGCATAAGTTTATATCTTTGAAAGGTTATTCGTTATTCAGCGGTACTTCCCTTCGTACAATTTTTTTTTCTAGATCTGACGAGGATCGTAAGGATAAATACAGGGACCGTGAACGCGAACGGGATCGAACCAGAGAACGAGAACGCGAACGAGCACGTGAAAGGGATCGAGAAAGGGACAGGCATTTCAAACGATCGTCCAGCCGCGATCGAAGTCGAAGACAGAGAGAATATAGGAGTCGTAGTAGGGACAGATCACACAGAGATCGGAGTAGAGACCGTTACCGTGACAAGGATCGTCACCGAGATAGGTAACGTGTTTCCTCACTGTCCCGTTGCTAACAGTTTTTCTAAGTTTTTGCCAATTATAGAAGAGGATCGCCTTACGACTATGCCACAGAGCTTGCACGGGAAAGAGAGAGACAACGAAGGGAATGAAAATGTATGCTACATGTATATATCAATATAAATGTTTGTACGAGTGTAACTATGGAGATAAAAACGATTTAGAGCCGAGCCATCCGAACACCACCGCGTTTTAAGAGAGAACTTACTTCATTTGAAGTAATAGCCTAAATTTAATTCTACTATATTCACCTTGTAGTTTACATGTTTTTATAAAATAAATCCATGATTATAATTGCTGTGTTTTGCTGTTCTTTATTGTGTATAGACGCGGAAGTTCTATATACATATAGTAACCTCTTTTTTTATGAAAATTAAAGACAATTTTGAAAAGGTATAATACGAAATTACAGACAATGTTTTTAGTGTCCCCACTGTTAGAAAAATAATATTTTTTTATTTTTCACAATCGATAGTATTGGTAGTTTATAGATAATGCTAATCGAATTTTGTTGAAAACTTTCATTCATCAATGTTTATTTATGGTTCCGATTCAACGCTTTACGGCGCGTGAGTATTTTGGATTGAAGTTAAAAATGGCGACGGATACCTGCTGTTTGATCACTGTCGGACGCGACTGAGCAGCAGTTTAACCGAAACATGAAAGAAATATTTGTTACCAGGTGACATTACCCAGCGTGGCCAATTTTTCAAAGGTGATAGCGATTGATGTTTCTTTCTAAACAAATATTTCCTCGATATTGCTTGAGTACGCTTTTAACGATTTCTATGCATTTTCGTCGTGACAGTGCTGCCATGTTGTACGCTTACGATATTCAGACTCGTTTCACGGAGTTTCTGACTTCGTCAGGTATTATTCTAACGATACGCGTTGAAGTATTTATCGTCCTGCAATTTAAGATGAAAACGCGCCTCAGAAAAATACATAAAGAACGAAAATGGCGCAAGTTAACGTCATTCGATGCTACAGTCTCTCGATGTTATGTCTCTCTCGGGGAAAATAATAGCGCGCCATCTATTTAACGTACGCACGATTGAAACTTAAAATTTTTGTTCGCAGATGATTGGCCGACGCTTTGCTCTCGTCGTTCTGGGCGGTCTTTTGATTCTCGTCCTCAGCGTAAATATATATTTCATCCGATTGATCGTAGAGAGCTCGTCGCAAAAGACTTCTCCCAAAGGCGTGCCTATTTCTCAATTAAAGCTCGAACAGGAACAATTAATCGCGCGGGTAGAACAAAACATGGAACTTCCGCAAAAATCGATCGCGAAAGATATGGCGGAGAAAATTAAAACGGAGATCGAGATATTACCGTCGAAATATTTTAAACAGAATACCAGCTATTCGGTAGTCCTGGAACGACTGTTGGCCGAATTAAGGATAACGCCGAATGTTCGTGAAAATATATGGAACATTGCTAATAACAATGTTGGTACTACGTCGGAATATGAAATAATAAAACTAATGCACGAAAGAAATGAAAGGGATATGTTATGCTTCCAGTGGCCGGATGCTCACCAGTTAATACCACCTGTCGCGCCCGAGTTGGGAACAATACTGGACACTTTGCGTAAATCGAAAGTGATGCGAGCCGACAACGCAGCGCTTGGTACGCAACTGAAGTTGATGTTAACTTTGGAACACGGGGTCAAAGCGATGTTCAAGCCTCAATGGTATTCCAGAGACGCGGTTATTCGAGGGCCCGTTTACCACGGAAAAGACAGGCACAATGCCGAGGTTGTAGCCTTTCATTTATCATCGTTGCTGGCTTTGAGAAGAGTACCGGTAACCGTTGCAAGAAAACGTATGTTTCACTTCTGCGTGCAATTAAACAATTTAGATTCGAAACGTATTACGCTTGCTCCGACGATAAATCTGTAGCTTCTTAACCTCTTCCCGTGTTATTTAGCTCGACGAAATCCGAGTCCAAACGCGGTAAACAGATCAGACCGATGCTACACTGTTTTGTAACAGAGGTTATAAGAATCGTGACCGACTCTTACGACATACCGATAAGAACTAAAACTCAATCACGATCGTCGTTTGCTGTCCGCGAGCCTGGCTCGTGGATGTTTACGTTTAGGCCAAAATTTTCATCGCGAGTCAGGCTCGTTAAAGTACGGGGAGGGGTTAAACACGTATTATAAAGAGGATCTTTATTAAGTATAAACTTGCTTGTGAAGCTACAAATTTATATGTAATTGAGACGTTCGAAAATACATGATGTCGAATGGTGTCTGCAGTCGATTTAGGGAACGAAGTTCGGCGACTAGCGACCCCTGAACTTTACACGACTATGTATCAAGATGGTAACGATACTTGTCTCTATGGAGTTTGTCATTACTGTTCTCCCGCGGACCCAGTTTGCGCGACTGGAGATATTCTGGAGGGTGCATTAATTTCTTGGTTACCGCGATATTTAAGACTCGTGAAGCACCGTCATCCGTGGCAAAGGACTTACAAAAAGAACAAACTCGCAGCATGGGAGATCGATGATAATTATTGCGAAAAAGTACGTTTGTACTTGGTTATCTCTTCGACGGGTGAAGAGTATTCGAACACAAACTTTGCTCGTTCTTTTAGGTGAAAGATTCCAAAGCGTATTCACCGCAATCGTCGAGCAGACTTTTGGATCTGGTAGACACTGCGATCTTTGACTTTTTAATGGACAATGGCGATCGTCATCATTACGAGTTAGCGCAGAATAACTTTCATAATCCTGCTGTTTTGTTGATCGACAATGGGAAGAGCCTTGGGAATCCTGACGTCGATCATTTTGATATATTGGCGCCACTGTATCAGTGTTGCATGTATGTATTTGAGCAAACATAAAGTTTGTCTCCTTCGTTGTCGTAGGATCGTGTTACTCGTTTTAATCGAGACTATGTTTCTTTTAGGATTCACAAAACTACTTGGGATCGTTTAAAGTTACTTAGTGGAGGTTCCTTGAGCATTGCTCTTGGAAAGCTTGTCGCACACGAGTCGATGATGGCCGGCGTTGAGCATCTTATTACAGATTCTCATTTAAGTGCCATGGATAGGAGATTACTTACTATATACGCTGTTGTAGAATATTGTTTGAAAAGTAAAAAGTATGCTTCTAACGTTATTCTAGATCATCGGTAGCCTATATTTTATAGAATATTTAGCGGATTTAAGTCGTTTTATATATAGAGAGTATTGGGAAAATATTCGTATTTTATATGGCCTAGTGACGAGCAATATTTTTTAGCATTATTCCAAAGAATCACGTCAATTCTAGAATTATTGAAATTTTGTTGGATTGTTTTTAGAATGAATGAATATTTAAATATAAGCATCATGTGTATCCTTGATTTAAATAAATCAGCTTTGTAAATAGTTACTGTTCTGAAATTATGTTGCAAGCCGAAGTATTCCTTGTAGAGTGGTTTATTATTTCATGTTTCACTCCATATACAGGATGTTCGCCCACCCCTGGGAAAAATTTTAAAGTTTAAATTTTAAATTTTAACTTTTCGTTAAAAAGTTATTAACGTTTAAAGTTCCGCTCGTACTGAATTTTTTTTCTCGAAAATGCGCAGGATTTCGGGGGTATGTCTATTCACCAAAAATGATTGTAATTGGCCCCAGCAATAGAAAATAATTTTTCCAGAACGATTTAAAATTTCTTTTTTTCCGTCGAAAAATTTCACACCTTCTCGAATTTTTTTCTAGAAAGTGGGTAGGATTTCGGGGGTATGTCTATTCACTAAAAATGATTGTAATTAACCTCCGCAACCGAAAACAATTTTTCCAGAACGATTAGAAGTTTTTGAATTTAATTGTTAATAATTTTTTAACGAAGCCTCCATCAACAAATTGGTATTCTTGATTTTCGTCTTATTTTGGCCTCTAGAAGCCGTTCGAAGCGAACACCCTGTATAGAAGATGTATCATTTTTAGAAACACGCGTAATTTGTCGCTAGTCATTATACGTGTTAAAACAGAATTAGCTCCACGTTTAACGTGTTAAATTTCATGTAAAAACGAAACATTTTTAACTTGTAACCTAATTGTTGCTCTGATTCTATGTTGTTCACTTTTTTTTTTAAGACAGACAAATAAAATCGATTCCTGAAACATAAACGATGCGTTGTTATATCTGAATGATTTAACGATTAATTTAGTTACTTACCTGTAGCAGATGTGATTCCTATTAACGTATGTACGACTGATGTTACACCACCTGAAATGTTTGACGTTATAGTGAATGTAGAACTTGTCCCGATATCGTTTTCTACTCATTACGATCGTAAATCAATTCAATTCAAGTGTCCATTTATCGTAACACAAACTGAATTAACGAAATAAAAATTATAAGTGTTGATAAGTTTTTGTGAAAAACAAAAACATTTTCAATTTTCTTTACTTCACGGTACAGAGCAGTATAGGCAGACGAAAGTTCACGAAGAAGATGCGGATGGAATGACAAGGACCGCATAAAGTTTAGTGTGATTTATTTGATGACACAATAATTATCGTCATTTGAGTAAAGATCGAGTGCAGTGTCGTACAGCGTATAAATACGGTACAAACGTAGAAAACCTGTAAATGCGACTGTATAATTGTTACGTTACATGCACATCGTATTCAGGACATCGTGCCATCGATCGGAATCTGAAATCGGCCGTAAAGGCCTGTTAAACATGTACAATATGTATAGTCTGTGTAGCCTGTATTATCTTCTCTCTTTTTGGCAGTTGAAACTAACACGTCGCGAATCGATGAACTGCACATAAACCGATTTCAATTTTATTGCTTTTCATCTCTTCTTACACTTTACACGCGCCATTGTCGGAAAAGATCTCGCAGGCTACCATGGGACTTCGAATCAAATCTGCATCTAGCGTCATCGTACATCCCAATCGTATTTTGTATTTACAATGTTACATGACCAGAATTACTCACATATCTTACTGGCTAATTATAAACTTTATCCGTAACATACACTTAGCGCCGTCATCGTTAGGTTGTGTGTATATATATATATATACATATATGTGTATACATTTATATTTGCGTATATAATATATGTGGCGACACCATCGCGGCCGCGGAGCCGGAAGCAGGAGCTACGGTCGCGCCCTCTTTTCGCGCTGGCGATGAAGCGAACGTTTGCAAACAGAAGCCGCGTCCGTTAGTTTTGCAATTGTTAATCGAATTATTCCGAGTACGTCACGTGTCGCGAAACACTGTTTCACTGTTTTCCGTTTATCCGTTATTGTTATTCGTTGTTCGTGATTTGTTGCACGTTCAATTGTTGTTCGTTACTCGTTAGGCATTGTTGTGTTTGTAAAAATAAACCTTTCGTTATCTGTTATCTGTTATCTGTTATCTGGCGTCTGTGCGTTCATACCTCCCGCCTTTTGCTTCCGTTCTCACGCGACCTAGAGAAAAATAGTCGCAGTCTAGGGACGCGACATACATACGTATACACACATATCTATATATTATTATATTAACATTCTTTAATTAAATAGAGCTTTCGTAGCAAAGTATGTATAAATAGACTATTTTCGCACGCACACCCATCATCAGTGCTCACTTCGAACTGCGCTGCATTCCTGAAGGCGAGACAATACACTCTGTTGAGCTGTTCGTCCATGAGATCTGTCTATCGAGTAAGATAAGCTATTACCTGAAAGTAGTGGACGAGAGGAATGGCGGTTCCCCGATCCTAAACCGTGGCTCAGTTCGAAGCCGTTTGTTTTAACGCCCTACGTTAATACTGTATATTTCATCCAAATATTTTCTCGAGTAGATTCGTATTAAGCTACACTTACAGTTGGATCGTACTTGATTTGATCGTAGAAATTGCATTTGTTTAAAATAGACTCGTACTTCCGTAACGGCAGCGTGGATTATTGCATCGCGTGGTGACGTACGCGTTTACGTCGTTATATACGAATAACGTATGTAGCATTAATGCTTACTTGTCCCTTACTTATTTAATTACATATCACACCGAAGTGCTTCACGCACGTAAAAGTCTAGAATAAATATAGGCCAGTTGTAGGCGTTGAAAATTTTTTTCCTTGACGTTTCTAATCTCTAATTGTTTTTTTTTCTTTCACTTTTAATGCACATCATTGCCTCACCGTAAGAACAAATGGAAGGACGCGTTTTGTAAAGAGTATCGTATCACGTATTATATCGAGAACATCGTGGTTTTCATCGACACTTCGATCGTTTACCAACACCTCTTTGATATATTTCGTCGTAAAAAGTTAGAAGGAGAAATATCTGTACTCGTATCCTAAATGTATTAAAACGTTTACTTTTGATTCGTTCCCCGTACTTAAATTTTGTTTCGTATGCATCTAATTCGGTTGTACGTTTCAAATAGTCATAAATTGCTACCTCTTTAAGTGGATGTTACAAACTGGCCTGACGCACGATCGATGTTACTGACAAGACTGTTTTGTTTGCATCGACGGATGGAATTGTCGAATTAAAGCGCCGATTCTACACCCCTGGACGACGACGTCGACGAACTCAAATCTTCCGAGTGCCGTGTGTGCGACGAGTCGAGGGAGGTCACCGAGTCGCTGTCGTTACTGTGAGGGCTCGAATAATTAGCTGCTTCCTGTAGTCTCATTAACATGTTCAGCTGCAACAACGGGAAACGTTAATTAATTATCGTGTTGCGATACATCACTCACGTGTGTGTACTTCTTTCACGTTACTACTTTCTGTTATAAAAGAATATTTTTACTAACTATAAAGGGGTCATTTAAGATTTTCGTGTTTCGAATAAGAACTACTTTAACGCAATTTAGATTTTCCTCGTGTAACGGTGAAGTCACGTACACGCGACAGTGGCGCCAAAGTGTTAATTTGTCCTTGCGGACTGCAAACAGAAAGTGACACTGACTAGTGGGTCTCCTTCGGTGTCGCTGTGCGTGCTGCCAAGGCTTTTCACACTCGATGCACCGACTCCGGATGTGTGCCCGGACGTAACAACGTCGTAACCGACGTCCTCGGGTCGTAAACGAAGAAGAGCGTCGCTGCCACCGTGAACAGCGTGAGTAGAAATCCACGGATAACTCGAAACGATAAACTGGGCCGGGTCTTCCCATGAGGAATCACCGTTACCATTTCCACTGACGCGTCTGCCGTAAAGCGTTAATCCTTCTCTGACCGCCTCGACCAGATACGGTATCACCGAGTAGTTCCACAAGTCGGTGAACCATACTTGAGAACCCGTCACCTCCATTGGACAGGACAGGAACAGTCGTGGTCCTGAAAACGCGAACATTTATCACCTTGCAGTTGCAATTTTAAACAAACAATCATCCACGTTCGTTTTACCTATGGTCACGTCGGAGCTACTGTGAGTTTCTAGGAACTTGTTGAGATGTAACCAAATCCGTGGCAGCCACTCGACGACGGCCGCCATTTCTGCATTCCTGGTCCCGCCGCACTCCCGTAGTTCGTGTTCCAGCAGTTTCCGCCTGAGATAACGGCCTAAGAACCCTTTAACCGGTTCCATGTGGTTAGCACATAGCACCCACCTAAAAATAGACAGTATTAGAGGAAATTGATATGTGCAAAAGGTAGTCCGGGGAGTCCCCGTTATCCATATTAAATAGAAATGCAAAGCTGTACGGGTGAGGGAATTTTCGAATAATAGAACACGCATTTTTCTGAGATCGATCATTCTGTATTTCAGGTAAAATATTATAAGAAAAGTTAGGGATAGCGGAGACAAAATGAGGTTGGAGAATTCTGGGCAGGGTTGTTCCCGCTTCATCGTACAATGGCGAAGCGCTCAAAACACTCTCTATCGGTTATGGAACAATCTGTTTACAACTACTGAATTATACTACTAGTTATTACCAGGTTAGATACAGTTGGAAGTTTGTGTTTATTAAAGTTTACCTTACAATGTCTATCCCATTATTATTGTTTAAAGATATAATATAGAGGACAGGGTTAATAATAAATACGCTTGGTAAAATACTATAAATATCAATAATATAAGGGGATGATTTTTTTCAGCTCTTTTTCATCGTTTGCTTCATGCATTGAAGGTAGTGACTTCAAGCTTTAAAACGAATCCAAACTAATTGTACGACGTCTCTTTAAGTGGTTACAGCAGTTCAAAGACCGACAATCTTTCCATCAAACTTGATCCCTTAATTTTGCTCAGAGTACTTAGATTCGATAAAAATAAATTTGACGATAATATTTGTCAGTCTTCCGTACGATGCAAATGGGTTAAAATGGGCTCGAGTTACAGCAATGATTCTTAAAATGAATGTTTATACACAGCGATGTCGATGAGCCTTGGACTCTGTATCATTTTTCGTCCGTTCTGTCCATTTAACAAATTAATCACTTTTTGGGCATGAGCTGTTATTTATAAATTATATAACGTTGAAACAATTTTATTGCCATTACTTCTTTTAATTTAGCTGTGATCTTCAAATACGGTTCACTGAGCTCTAAGAAGGATCTCCCAAGTTGGGAGGGATAGAAACGTTCAATTTACGAATCTGGGGGTTCATTTTAAGAATCATTACCGTAGTTTATGTGCCAACGAATGTTCATTTGCAAGCACGAACCGTCATCGTTCTTAAAGTAAAAAGTACCTGAAGTTATGATGTAACTGAAGATTCGTTGTGCTACAAGTAGCCTGACTCATTGTGCCGATAATAGCCGGGCAAGACGAGTGCCTAGTACCGAGGAGGCCACTGAACAATTCTCCCAACGACGCAGCGTGTTGCAAATTTTCGAGAATGATTACCCTCGGTAGCTCGTCGGCTGCGTTCGAGTCGCATCTTTCGGCGATGTGCGCGAGATACTGCCTGAGTTCTTTGCTGGATTTGTGATCGACATTGAACGTGGCCACCGCCGCCGCGTCCTTCGTGTCGTTATCCGTGTCTACCAAAGCGTGAGCCAATTTTCCAGCCAGATAGCTCTTGCCGGTACCGCTCGGTCCGCAAAGGATCACCCTGCGATGCTCGGTGAGGAGTGAAATCAGTCGCTGGACGATGGATCGCGGTATCAGAGTGTCCACGGCGAGCCACGAGTAACCGGAAAGCACCAGATAAATAGTTTTCACGTGGCCTATTAAGTATCCACAGGGTAACAACTCTGGATGCTGGGAATCCGTGGTACACCTATGGCAAAAACAGATTCATGAGAGTATATCCCAACGAAGCTCACCGAAGTTTCTTTGTACCTAAAAATACGTACCTAGAAGATTCACCAAGGTGATAAGCGGCGACACATTCGACACCCAAGCCCAAGTTCGTTACAGGATCCACTCTCGTGACGTACTCTTTGAAGCAACGTCTCACGGTGGAGTCTAGGGAGTCCCAGGTGGTCTTGTTGCTGATGCAGACGTTCGCGATGATACAGTGGGGCGGCTCGCCGATGCTGCCATCGGAAGTGCTTCCGGTCACGAGATTATAGTTGAAGTTCTTCTCGCTGCCCAGGTAGATAGCCACGTTGATTCGTTTCCCGTCCGTGTCTTGCTCCATTGCTGGCTCCCCCGTGGTCGAGTTGGCGGATGGCACCACCGAGTGTTCCGGCACGTTCAGATTCTCTAATTGATCCGCCGTTGAGTTGGTGTCGCCGTTCGAAAGCGCAGCAACCGTGGACGCCACTTCCGTCATGCTGAATCGTCTGTCCGGATCGCTGGGCAGCGACGATTGGGAGGATGTCAACGATTTCGATGTTACCAATCTCTGGAGACGCTCGTTATTCTGTTTCAGATTGAGCATCTCGTTCTGCAAACGAAGAATTTTATTTGGAGAAATCTTTGTGGAGGCTACAGACTAATGATTCTTAAAATGAATACGCTCAGAAATTGGGCATGTTCATTTTACGCACAATTGGGCTCTAAAGGGGGATAGAAACGTTCAATTTACGAATCATGTCAGGAGTTCATTTTACGAATCATTGCTGAATTTGACTTTGTAACGAGCATTCGATTGCTGACGAAGCAAATACGTACCCTCATCTTGATAACCGTGTCTTTGAGAGACTCCAGCTGATGCGCTGAAGAAAGAGCCTCGAGTCTGATGTCCGTCAACACGAGGTCCTTTTCCCTGAGTTGTTTCTTCAGCTCGACCACATCCTCGTCTTCCTTTTTGTAGAGAGCAGAGCTGCTCTTGCTCCCGGTCAGAGAGTTCTCGACCTCCGGAGACTTTTGCCCGTTGCTTCTGGTGCCCTGGCCTCTGGAGGACTCGTGTTTAGAGGCGGTGGGCAGTCTAGGGCTGTTTGGGGCGCTCAGATCCCCGCCGGTGCTCTCCTTGCAATCCTCAGCGTCGGAGACCGAGCCGTGTCTGTTCTTCCGCGACCTGGAGAACGCTTTCGAGAACGAGCTGCGAAGCCAACCCTTCTTCTTGTGGTGGCTGCTGGCCGAGCAGGCGCTGCTCAGTGAATTCAACGAGGTGACGCTGTCCGCGGACAACTGCCTCGCCATCGAGGCACCTTGGTGGTAATTGCTGTTCCCGGTGCATCCCGTCGTCCCAGAATCGGAGTCCCCGAGAGTGTGGCGGCGACCGTTGTTCGCTGTTGGAGCGCTGTTTAGGCCAGCCTCGGCGCTTTGTTTGCGGAGTCTTTCGATCGTTTCTCGTAGCTCCTGAAGCTCGGAATCCTGAAAATTTTATGAATTTTATGGTCGTTCTTCGCGAGGACAAGCGTGGTTTGAGTAATACCGAAGAAACTCTTGGGTGTCAACGATTTTAACCCTCTGAGGATTGGGTGATTCACTATAAATGAAAAAAAAAACTTGTTTCCTATGAATTAAATTGTTTTTGAAATTGGTACGAGTCTCCTTAAAAATGGTCCAATTTTCAAACTGCCATAACTCCTACAATAGTGAATATGTTTCATTGAAATATATTTTCGAAATAGAGTTAAATGTATTAAACAACTTCCTGTAGAGCGTCAAACAAATTTGTTAAAAATCAAAAACATATTTTTAAGAAAAATCAACAGGAGAGCCCTAAATTTTTCGATGAAAAAAAAAATTTCAAATCGTTCTACAAAAATTATTTTTAGTTGCGAGGGTCAATTACAATCATTTTTGGTGAATAGACATATCCTCGAAATCCTACACACTTCCGAGAAAAAAATTCGTAAGTGCAACAATTTTTCGACGAAATTAAAAAATTTCAAATCATTTTAAAAAAATTATTTTTAGCTAGAGGGGTCAATTACAATAATTTTTGGTGAATAGACATATCCTCGAAATCCTATACACTTCCGAGAAAAAAATTGAGTACATGGAAAAATTTTTCAGCGAAATTGAAAAATTTCGAATCATTCTAAAAAAATTATTTTTAGCTTGAGAAGTCAATTACAATCATTTCTGTTGAATAAACATATCCTCGAAATCCTATACACTTCCGAGAAAAAAATTGAGTACATGGAAAAATTTTTCAGCGAAATTGAAAAGTTTCAAATCACTCTGGAAAAATTATTTTCGTTTGCAGGGGTCGAGTACAATCATTTTTGGTGAATACACATACCCCCGAATTCCGACGCACTTTCGAGAAAAAAATTCCAATAGATACACAAATTTTTCGGCAAAAAAAAAAATTTCAAATCGTTCTGGAAAAATTATTTTTAGTTGCAAGGGTCAATAACAACCATTTTTGGTCAATAGACATACCCCCGAATTCCGACGCACTTTCGAGAAAAAAATTCCAATAGGTAAACAAATTTTTTGGCGAAATTGAAATACTTCAAATCGTTCTGGAAAAATTAGTTTTAGTTGCAGAGGTCAATTATAATCATTTTTGGTCAATAGACATACCCCGGAAATCCTACGCACTTTCGAGAAAAAAATTCAGTACGGGCGGAACTTTAAATGTTAATAAATGGTTCCCCGAAATTTCATGCAAATATTTAAAACGTCATAACTTCTGAACGGATTGGAGAATTTTAATGTTTCAATATGCAAATAACGCGTATTTTAGTCAAGAATATGTAGAAATTCTAACAATAATGAAAAAGTTGTTCTTTGACCCCGTAAAATGAGAAAAACTCCATAAAAGTGGTCCAATTTTCAAACAGCCATAAATCCTACAATAGTGAATATATTCCAATGGAACTTTTCTCTGAAGTAGAGCTTATGAGTGTCTACAAAAAAGTATTAAACAACTTTCCTGTAGGGAAATACAGATAAGAATACAATACAGATTTGCTTCCTTTTCATATATTTCAGCTAATACATTCTGGAGCAAAATTAATCAGTTACTGCCAAAAAAGTCATCAACGCTGTATCAATGTTTCTCATACAAAATAAATTGATTTCTTCCTTCTTCTTGTCAGACAATCAATATCGACTCCAATCTGCTGTAACACCTGCCCGTTTCAACTTCCAATATCGTGCTGTCGCAGAAACGTTCGAAAGATTTTTCAATTATCCACGGAGCGATATTATCCGCGCCAATTCGTCCCCGGGTCCGTCGAACCGTGATCCTCCACGGAAGTTCGCGTTTCCTCGACGCGGTCGGTTCCGTGGAAAGGACAGGGCTCTCGATTGTAGCAGCAAGCACAGTTATCCGAGTGACTGATCATCGAGTCGCTGCTCCACGAGTCAGCCATGCTGAACAATTGTCTCATGGACTTCGAGCTCGGGTCTGCTCGAATCTTGTCCGACTTGTCCTGGCAGGACGATGGACTCCCCGACGAACGATCAACTCTATCCAACGGTGGACTCAATTTAGACGAACGATCGGACGCTTTCGAGGTCTCCGAACCGTCCTTGCGACGTGTCTTCGTCCTGTAGGAGATACTCTTCAATCCTCTTTCAAGTTTCGCGTGAAAGTTGCTCAGCCTCTCCGAGGCGACGGTTCGCTGAGTCTTCCGTTCCTCTTTCGGATCCTGGGGCTTCTTCGTCGCTTTCGTGTCCGTGTTTCGGGGCTGCTTCAGCTCTTTGCTCGATCTCTTAACGTCGTTGGACAATTTACGAACGGCCCTCGAGCCCGACGGACGAGCAGAATTCCTCGAGGTGGTCGAGTTCGAGCCCACGGAGGAGTTTCTCGACTCTGGTATCCGTAGACCAAGGGCTTTCGCGTCTTCCGGGGGCACTGGGATCATCACCGTACCGTTCACGAACTGAATGTTATGATTGGGAAAGGCGGACAACAGTTGCATGGTTTTCGGGTCGGTTGGTCGCTCCAGTTTTCGATTTCGGGGCGGTCTCGCGTGCGGTTGCTGATCGACAGCTTCGTTGGAACGTTGGGCAACGTGCATGGCGGATTCAATTTGGATTCGAGGAGGAGGGTTATGGAGAGGTTATATGCAACTTAGAAACGTGGAAAATGCGCGGAGGAACGCGTGGTCATCTCCGCGGTGGTTATTGTTGCGGGCTGCGCGACTCGCGGCATTCTTAATCGTCCCGGAAATCAGCTGCGTCGACTCATTCCAACAATTTTCTCACTATCATCTCGGTTAACCTACCCCGCGATTTCGTAATTTCTGTCGTCGCGAAACCTGCCGTCGAAACGTTATCGGTTCGATAGAATATCAGATTTGATATTGTTTCTATCGGGGGTTTCATATTTTCGTAATCTGGTAATATGACTTACTTTCTTTTCAGCCGTTGCTGTGAGCTGTTGCAGCCGTTGCGTCATGTTGGACAGCGATTGCTCGAAAGCTGACACCACGTGGGCCTGGAACAGAAAGAAAATCAACACTGTAAGCTTGATTGTTAATTAGAATCTTTTATTAATTAATTTATTTCAAGTCATGGCGCTGTAATGGCGCTTCACTGTAATAAATGGAAAGAAACTTGGCTTTTTTTCTTATGAATTCTTTTACCATTTATATTTTTACCAAACGTTGTTTTATTATGAATTTTTTTTTGTTTAAATGGCAGACAAGTAATGATTAATTATACAATCGATAGGAAAGTATTTATTAATAATATAAACAGTATATAAATCAATAATAAGTGTTTTTTTTCCGAGCGGTCACCCATCCCAAACTACTGTACTCGATCGCGTGCAATGCAGCTGCACTTTGGTGGTCATATGAGGACCGGTGTTTCTAATGTGCCACGATGGTTCACAAGTTTTTTTTTTAATTGAAACCTTTATACAGCGTGTTCAGCCACACCTGGGAAAAATTTTAATGAGAGATTCCAGAGGCCAAAATAAGACGAAAATCAAGAATATTAATTTCTTGACTGAAGCTTCATTAAAAAGTTATTAAAAAATTAAATTAAAAAATTTCAAATCATTCTGAAAAAATTATTTTTGGTTGCGGGGGCAATTACTATCACTTTTGGTCATTAGACGTACCCTCGAAATTCTACTCATTTTCGAGAAAAAAATTTTAGAAGGTGTGAAATTTTTCGACAAAATTAGAAAATTTTAAATCGTTCTAGAAAAATTATATTTAGTCACAGGGGTCAATTACAATCATTTTTCGTCATTACACATACTCCCAAAATCCTACCCAATTTCGAGAAAAAAATTCGAGAAGTAGTGAAATTTTTCGTCAAAATTAAAAATTTCAAATCGTTCTAGAAAAATTATATTTAGTTACAGGGATCAATTACAATCATTTTTGGTCATTACACATACTCCCAAAATCCTACCCAATTTCGAGAAAAAAATTCGAGAAGTAGTGAAATTTTTCGTCAAAATTAAAAATTTCAAATCGTTCTAGAAAAATTATATTTAGTTACAGGGATCAATTACAATCATTTTTGGTCATTACACATACCCCCGAAATCCTACCCAATTTCGAGAAAAAAATTAGAGAAGGAGTGAAATTTTTAGACGAAATTAAAAAATTTCAAACCATACTAAAAACTTATATTTAGCCACAGGGGTCAATTACAATCATTTTTTGTCATTACACATACCCCCGAAATCCTACGCATTTTCGAGAAAAAAAATCTTTACTGAAAATCTAATGTGAGGTCTGAATGTGAGGTCACTCCAAAATTTCAAGCATATCTTTAAAACGTCGTAACTTCTGAACGGATTGGATGATTTTAATAATTCAAAAGGCAATCAACGCGTATTTTAGAGGAGAATATGTAGAAATTCCAAGAATATTCGAAAACTTGTTCCTTGACCCCGTAAAATGAGAAAAACCCCATAAAAATGACCGAATCTTCAATCGTCCATAATTTCTACAATAATGAACGTATCTGAATGAAATTTAGCATGGAAGTGGAGCTCATGGATACCTACAAAAAAGTATTAAACAACTTTTCTATAGGGCGTCAAACAAAATTACTATAAATAAAAAACGAATTTCTAAGAAAAATCGACGGTAGGTGCCTAAATTTTTCGGCGAAAAATAAAACTTTTAAATCGTTCTGGAAAAATTATTTTCGGTTGCGGGGGATAATTATAATCATTTTTGGTCATTAGTGATACCTTTGAATTCCTACCCACTTTCGAGAAAAAAATTCGAGGTGTGAAATTTTTCGACAAAATTAAAAAATTTCAAATCGTTCTAAAAAAATTATATTTAGTTACAGGGGTCAATTACAATCATTTTTGGTCATTACATATACCCCCGAAATCCTACCCAATTTCGAGAAAAAAATTCGAGAAGGAGTGAAATTTTTCGACAAAATTAGAAAATTTCAAATCGTTCTAGAAAAATTATATTTAGTTACAGAGGTCAATTACAATCATTTTTGGTGGATAGACCTATCCCCGAAATCCTACCCATTTTCTAGAAAAAAATTCAGTACGGGCGGAACTTTAAACGTTAATAACTTTTTAACGAAGCCTCCATCAACAAATTAATATTCTTGATTTTAGTCTTATTTTGACCTCTAGAATCTCCCATTAAAATTTTTCCCAGGGTTGACCGAACACCCTGTATATCAAAATGTATAAAGTCTTTTTCATTTATAGTGCCTATGTATAGTATGCGAAGTACAGTGATTTTATTTATAATTTAAAAATTCATAGTCTGTATCATTAATTTGGTATTTTATGTACACCAGTTTGGACAATTTTTATTTACTTTAAAGCCAGTCAAGATTTTTAAATACATTTAAAAAACCCAAAAATATTTGTTTGTATCAAACCGTGGTGTACGGTTCAGAGATATTTTCTAATAAAATTCTTAGAGCCAAGAATGAAATAAAAATATTGTCGACGAAGGGACTCGAGCAAAATTAAAATGGTACATTCTGTAGATACAAGGATAGAATAATTGCAGGTCGACGCGTCGTTAGTAGAATAAGATCGATTAAAATGGAAAAGGAGTTTAGCGACGCGTTGTTTCTGCGTTCCCCGATTGCATCGTACCGAACAAACGCGATTACGTCCAATCTGTGCTACACGAGTCTGCGAGATAATCAGTTTCCGTCGGTTCAGCGATCCCAGGTAGAAAGAAAACCACTCACGGGACGGAATCTGGTGATCTAAACTGCACCGACGCGAACGATTCTTATCTGTCCTTCCGCTTGTTTCCCGCCCTTTCTTTGCAGCCCGTTACTGCTGTTACGAAATCAGCCTCGCTTTGAAGATCCCAGTGACGATAAAAAAACACAATTAAATCATTATCAACGACCGAGATGATTTTAATGCACGTACGAAATCGATTAAAAACCTTTTTGAGTTACATTATTGATGCCTACGTGCACTTTTATAATTACATTGCCACGTGACATTGGGTCACAACAAAAAGAAACTTTAGGGTAAATAAACCCGTATAACATTTTATATTTTAATTATGAGTCAAATGTGTTTGGTGTGTAAATTTATTTAAGATTATTTAAATATTGGTACACATAATAGTACCCAATATCAACCCTTAACGATCCAGAAGTATTTCACTTCCGACTGGGGCAAGTTATTTTTCATACAGAGAAAAATTATGTACCAAATATTTTCATATCAAGTGCAGAGTAAAAGATATTTACTTTTTTTTAGTGAAAATTCATTGATATATTTTCAGAGTAATTTTGTAATAATAAACAGTTAAGGGTTAAAGCTATGAATAATTATTAGACTAAGGATGTTTGTGCGTTTGTGGACAATTTTAATTTATAAGAATATATAAGAAATACTTAAAGTATGATGCAACCCTCTACAGAGCTCCAATTTCATTAATTCTATTTCATTCGTTAGTAATAATGGAAAAATAAAAATCGAACGTTCACCCGGTTTTTTTTTATAAGGGAACACCCTGTACTTTTATCAAAAGGTTCTTGAAGTAGGATATGGTAGCTGGATAACGTCGAGTGGAGACACGAGGGAGCTATCTTCCGCGTATCGATCCCAGCTACCCAATTTTCGGTCCTGCACTCAATGTCGAGCGATAATTCATTTTTTTTTCTTCTCCTCTCGAGTGGCCACTAGTGGCTTGTAGAGCAATGGCGATTTGAGGAACGATCCCGACCGAAAATAGAAAGGGTTAGAGTCGTACTCGTGGTACGACGACCTTCTCGACCACGAGTACATATCTATATTCCCGGTGCAGAATGGGTGTCTGGTTTCGTTAGCACAGATTTGATGGACAGACCCATCGAATCGTGACTGGCGATCCTATAGAATTCGCGATCTCACCGTTTCTATGGGAAATACTTAACCCAACAATTTTCACAAATATCGATTATTAAATTTATATTCATTTTTTAAATCGATAGTATTAGAATAAAAATTTCACTAATTAAATTTAATGACAATGGTGCGGATATATTAGAAGAACATAATAAAAATCATAATAACGTTATTTTAGGAATAATTCTTATTATTGGATTGTTAAACAAATTTTTCGAAGTAACATGTCAAATCTATATTGTAAAATTCTAAAATAGAAATTTCTGCGAATGGGTTCAAATGTTTCGCGCCAAAAATTATCGTCCCCATAGAGGTCGCCACATTGTAACTTTCGTAGAATATTAACTATAGATCGAAGACGAATTTTATGAAAAGAATCGATTTAAGATCTGCAAAAAGTATTTAAATAATCTTTCAAGATATATTTGACAATTTTTAATTTTTAAAATAGAATCAAATCAAACTTGTGGATCTTGGAAAAACGAATTTCTCGACCAGTCTTGCGTAATAAATTACATCAGACAAGTTCGTATCGAGCACCATTAAAATTTTACGATAAATTACCATTGTTATCGCGTGGAATGTAATTAGATTTCTTTTTATCTGCGCAACACAACGGGCTCGTGTCCTATCGCTACGCAATTCTTCATCAATCATTCGGGTGTATTGGACACCTCTGGTGAGAAAATGTCGGACGAACGTTCCACTTAATCTCGACCCAAACGTCGTTCAATTCCTCTCCTTGTTTTCCGTAAATATAATTCAACAAATAATCAGTATATTATTTGCTATCGTTTATTTATTTCTTTTAAGGCTGAACTTCGTTTCGATAATAATTCGATCTTAATACTTTCAATTTATTTCGTTTAAAATGGAAAATAAAATTACTGTTGTCAGAAAATGATTGTTCAAAAACTGTGCTGCAAATTTCGAGCAGAATCTTCCAAAAAATCTAGAGGATTAAGAAACAGTATACTGTCCCATTAAAGATATAAGGAATTTAAAAAAAATGGATTTTTAGGTTATGAACGTAAGAAAATTGGTCACAATGGTTCTCAATTATAATAAATCTGTGTTCGACGATGTTTCTACATATTTCGAACGAATTTACGAATATTCTAAAAAATCTATAG